TTGTGATGTCTCTAGCGTGTGAAAACATTTAACATAAAATTCAAATGTCTGCTCTTGGCTGACACTCTGGTTCTTTTAAAGAGCCATACCCCACCCACCGCATCCACGGGATTAGAGGTCCAATCTTGCCACCACAGAGCTCTGCAAGAAAGGGCGGTTATAGCAGCGGGGAAAACCATCGCGATGGGAGAAGATAAGGCGAGCCCATTTCACGCCCCGGCGGCGTGCGGTCCCGGACTCCAGCCCTGGGAGGGAAACCTTTGTTCGCCTCTGCCATCAAACTGGTGGCTCATCAGAACTGGGGCAACAAGAGTTTGTGCGCATCGGTTCGGCAGAGGTTAAACAAAGCAATGCAGCCTGGAGACCCGGCTGAGCGGGTCCGCGTCCCTGCTCTTGGCGGCCGAGGTCCGGCTCCGCGCCGGGGACTCGAGAACCGGACAAGGCGCGGGAAGGGGCGCAAGACTGAGCGGGTCCCACGCTCTCGGCAAGTTCCCGGGGTGCAGCCCGTCTGCAGGTTCCTCGTGGGGACCCACGGGCGCGCACGCTCCGCACAGGTCCGGAGGACACGGACCGCGCCGCCCGCGAATGGGGTCGCCGCTCCAAGACCTCCGCCAGCTTCCCGAGCCCACGCCCCGGGCAAGGTCGGAGTCTCGCCGGGCCCCGACCTGAGGTAGAAGCCATTGTCTGTTCCCGCGACCGAGGGGCGCTCACCTGCGGTTTCACCGGGCGCCACGGTGCAGGGAGTGATGACCGACGACGCGCGTCCCGGGAATGTCCCAGCCCGCCGAGCCTCCGCAGCAGCAGCCCCAGCAGCGCGGCCAGCTCTCAGGCGCCCGCGGCCTCCATTGCTCTCCCCGCCGCTGCCACCGCGCGGCACTGCGCGCCCAGCCCCGCGCGCCGTGGTCACATGCTCCGCCCGCGCCTCGCCTCGGCCGCTCGGACCCGCGCCCGCCCCGCCCGGGGACCGCCGTGCCGCCCGCCGAGCAGCCCGCCGAGCTCGAAAGGCGCGCTGCGGAAGGTTCCGCACCGACCTGAAACCAGGAGTTAGTCCAGGGCACCGTTACCCTCTCCGCTGCGGGAACGGTCAGACCGGGGACTGAGGGCAAGGGTCGAGGTGCACCTTGCAAGGGGCAAGAAGCCAAGACCATCAGTGACCACCCCATCGGGACGCCAAGTCAGGTCCGGGATACTTGCATGAAGTAGTCACTAACTCGTGACCTAGACCTTTGAGGGGTTTCGCCCCTCACGGTGCTAATGGATCTGGAACTCCCGAGTCGTACAATTGGAAAAGATGTCCCTCCAGAGATAGAAAAGCTAAATTGCATTGTTGAGTTTCAGTGCATCTGAACACAGAGACATTGGTCATCATTGTCCCTACTCATAATAAAATTAAATATTGACTTTGATACCTTAAGGAGAATCATCTTTTCCTGATGTGAGTTAATCGGAAACAGTAAGACTTAACTTCATACTGTTTGGCTATTTCAACAGAAGCCTTGGAAATCAGTTCTACCGTCCTTTTGTTGCTATGAATAGAAAGACACCAAAATTAAGTTAGTCTTCTTATTAAATACCAAACAAGGCAAAATTCTTCTGTGACAAAAGATGCAGAAACCCAACCTAACATGTGCTCCATAATGAATCAAAGGTCCCAGTGCCCAAAACAGGACCAATAATTTCCATGCTGGCAGCGAGCATGACTTAGAAGAAACTGATATTGAAGGTCCTAGTTTGTGGCGACTTACTAAACTGGGTTTTTTTTTTTTTTGGATAATTTTTGTTGTTTTGGTTTTGGTATTTTGAGACAGGGTTTCTTTCTCTGTGAAGCCCTGGGTGTCCTGGAACTCCATCTATAGACCAGACTGACCTCATACTCAGAGATCTGCCTGCCTCTACCTCCAGAATTCCAAAAATAAAGGCATGTGTTAGCACCACCCCGCCTTTCTTAAAACCCCGATAATTTCTCTTTCTGCTTTTGTGTCACATGCATTCTATTCCTTCTTCTTTTCCCAACTCTGAGTCCCACTGTAGCTCAGTCACACACACACACACACACACACACACACACACACACACACTTATATAGAAATGCCATTTTAAATGTAGATACAAAGAAAACATGTAATTCTTTGAGTCTCACTCTCTTTAATATGCTTTTAAAAAAAGACCCAATCTTTTCACCTATGATGTCATCTTTGTTTATGGCCATTGTATATACGCACCACACTTTCATTATTGGCTAATCTGCTGATGGACGTCTAGGTTAGCTCCACATCCTGCCTATTGCCAGTTGTGCAGCCATAAGCATGGATGTACATTCTGTGGAGAACTGACGAGGAGTCCTTCAGGTAAATGCCCAGGAGCACAGCTGGACCAGATGCTCTCTCATTTTAATTTTTGAGAAGCTCCACACTGATGTCCATCGTAGCTGTACAAGCTAACATCCCACCAGCAGTGTGTAAGGAGTTGTCTCTTCCCCTTATCCCCAGTACTGTCATGTTTTCTTGGCAGTTGTGCTGACTGGGGCAAGCTGGAGTCTCAAGGCAGTGCTAACTTCCTATTTCCTTGATGGCCAAGGATGCTGAGCAGTTTTCAAGTGTGTGTTGCTGTTTATACTTCCTCTTTGGCGAACTACCTATTCAATTCCCTAGCCTATTTATTGGTGGTTGATTTTGGTTTGGGGTGTTGAATATTGTGATTTGTTTACATATTTTACATAGGTTACCTTTTCAGTTTCCTCTAATCCCTCCAGATACCTTGGCCTGGTTGGCACTCATGGGTCCCACTCACCCATCTCTCTTCAAAGTAGGATAGGAATATCACCAAATAATAAAAGCAGCACTGCAAGGCACTGGCTCTCTATGTTAGTTCTGTGCCCGGCTGCTTTGCTCAAAGTGTTCTCAGAACTAGGTTCTCTGGAGTCTTCAGGGCTTCTAAGGATAGAATTATTTAGTTTGGAAGTAGGGATTTGACTTCACTTCCTATTTGTATCCTGTTTCTTTGTCTTGTTGACCTAGCTAAGGCTTCAGGCAGGACACCTTCCTGTTTATTCCCTCTATGTTTTCTTCCATATTTTTACAGACACTAACAGATTCTCCAAGCCTTTATTGTTTAACTCAGCTCCTTCTTGTAGTCTCACTGATTCTTAGGTTTGGTCTTTTGACTGTATCCCAGATGTCTAAACACGCACTCATACTTGTATTCTTTATTTGCTACAATTTTATTTATTTTTTTATATTTATTTATTTATTATGTATACAACATTCTCCCTCCATGTATGCCCACATGCCAGAGGAGGGCACCAGATCTCATTACAGATGGTTGTGAGCCACCATGTGGTTGCTGGGAATTGAACTCAGGACCTCTGGAAGAGCAGTCAGTGCTCTTACCCACTGAGCCATCTTTCTAGCCCCATATTTGCTACATTTTCTTTTGTGTTGCTTTTACTTCTTCGTTAGGGTTTCTATCACTGAGAATAACAAGGTGCTGTGAAGAGACACCCTAACCACGGAAACTCTTACAAGGAAAACACTGAATTGGGATGGCTCACTTAGTTTCAGAGGCTTGGTCTATTATCATCATGGCGGGAAGCATGTGGAATGCAGGCAGACATGGTGCTGGTACATCTTCATCAGAAGGCAACGGGAAGTTGTCTGTGTATCGCACTGAGCTCGAGCACAGGAGGCCTGAGTCCACTCCCTCAGTGACACACTTCCTCCAAGGTCTTACCTACTCCAATAAAGCACACCTCTGAATAGTGCCACTCCCTATGAGCTTATGGGGGCCAATTACATCCAAACCACATCGTCTACACTGCTGAATCTCCCGCTTCCTCTTTTACCATCTTCTGACATTATATGGAGACTTTGCTCAGCTTCTGCACTGAATTCATCTGCTTCTTCAGATCTCCTTTCAGCACACTGAGTATTTTTGCCAGGAAAGTAAGAACAAGTTGCAGCGGCTCAGCTCCCGGTGGGAAGGGAAGTAGAGCTGCTTCCAAAAACAGGTTGGGCCCCACGGCTATCACTGACTAGTCCAGGAAACTGAGGCTTCAGGAACAGGTTGATCAAGCCATGGACGTTTCTCTAAAATAGATCATATAGTAGGGCACAAGGCCAGTCTTCATATATACAGGAAATTAAAGTCCTTAAATTATAGCCGATTACAATGGAATAACACCACAAGTGAGCAGCAAGAGAAATGACGTGCACAAAGTCAACAAGGTAAGAGAAAAACATCCTGGAAGTAAATGGAAATGAGAAGAGAACACGCCGAAAGTCTATGGGCTACAGTGGAAAGTGCTGTCTACGCAGGCTCTTGAGGGAGGATTGTCATCAGTGGTCTTACTCCGCCAGGCATGATGTGCCCACAGATACAACAGTAGCGTGACCGTTACGGGGCTGACCAATCACTGATTATATTTCAGCCCCTCTCCTAGGAGGTCGTCCATGCTTAGTCCCGCAAACCCCGTCAAGCGCAAGACTGTGCCCCATCGTGGAAACTCTCATTATTTGTTGTCGAGTGTGTGTTCATGTGTAGGTTTTCCTTGAAGACCTTCAGGTAACTACAATGTGCAGACCCCAAAGACCCTGACATAAAAAGACTGATGCTAACTAGCGCCAGCGGTAGAGCGACTGCCATGGGCAGACTCTTCTAAATGCGGGAGAAGGTATGGGTGTGTGATAAATTGCAACGAGGTGGGAAGATGTCACAGAGTAAGGCAACTGCCCATAAAAAGTATTTACAGTGAGGAGACTCTGTAACTATAAACACACCTTAATGCATTTTTCTCACAGTGTACCTAATAGGAACTTATATTTTGAATTAACTGGAAATAAATGAGTCATTTTAAAAGGTGGCTGGTACCTAATTGAAGGATTTTTCTAAGCCCCATCATGAAGAGGTCCGATTTGAGTAAATTCTACTTAATTTCAGAATTAAGAATATTACTAACACAAAATTATAAAACATATTGGAAAGAAAGAGAAGGCAAATTGATAGGTATGTTTATTGCTAAATCTATAGTCAAGTTCCATGATTTAAAATTATTTAAAACAAAAGTATAAATATCTATAAAAAACACAGTACTTTAAATTAAAATCGTTTTTTCAAAACCTGTAGCATGATGGTTATAAAATAACAATTATGAGAATGACACATTTATAATTACACAAAACATTAAAAATGAACACTAACGAAAGTGTGTCTTGCTGCTGATTTGGGGGAAAGGGTGGGGACAAATTTTTTTTATGTGTATTTACTGAAAGATTTTCCACCGACACTGCATATACCCCGCCCTTTGGCATTTCGCTATAAAGCATGAATTTACTCAAAGGAGACAGAATGGATAAAACCCCAAAGATGGTGGAGAGTAAGTTGTCCTGCACTCAAACACGAAGTAAACAATTGCCAGGGGCATGTCCTGAACGCCCAGGCACTAGCTACACAAGAACACTACCTGCCTCCTCGGACATGAACACAAAACCCACTTTAGTTATCCAAGAAGAAACAAACATGTTGTTCGTGGTTGATCTCTCGCCTGTCTATGCTGACTCTGACATTCTTTCTCGGTCATAATGAAATCTAGTTTGAAAAGGATTTTCTTCACAGGTGAGCAGTTGAAACACGATTAGTATTTGTAGCTTACACTCTATTTTGGACTTCTGCTCTTTCCTTAACGTTTGCATACACCTAAATTCTTTACAATGACAGCCTTGAAAGTGAATTTCTAAGGAGCTGTTTCTAGTTTATATGCCATAGGAATGGTGTTTACATACTATTCGTAAAGACTGGGTTACATTACACATGGTTACAGGCCACATATAGGTATTATCAGATACACATTGGACTTTTAGCAAAAATATTTTTCTACATTTACATTATATACGTTCATATTCTGAAATTTTAGACTAGTATGTTGAGGAATTTAATTTGTTAAAAATGCCCCCAAATTTCCATTTTATTATTTAACAAAACTTTGAATATATTTTAACTTAATTCTAATAAAATATTGTACCATGTGAAGAGCCAAGATAATAAGGTCTATCATAGATAAATGTATTTTTTCCACCATAGTTCTTCCAGATTGGAATAATTAATTACACATGGCAATAACTACTTTATCGAGAGTTCTGCCAGTGGGGTCACTAGGTACATAACAAAGTTATTTCTTTAAAAGGCTCGATGGAGGAAATGTCCTACAGACTAGGATTCTACATACAGGGTAATGTTCTTCAAAGTTGATGGTAATATAAATGATTTTCGAGAAAGTAGCTGAACTTATTGATCTCCAGTAAATCTGAACCTTCAGAAATAATAAAAACATCTCAGGAAAAAGAGAAATGTTAGCAGTTAAATTTTTGGCTTTACAAAACATGTTGGTTTGAAAGAGAAATGTACCCCATAGGCTGAGATACTTGAACACTTTGGGGAGGTTTAGGAAGAACAGACTTACCAGAGCAAGTATGTTTCTGGGGGAAGGGCTTTCAGAGTACAGTTTCTCCCTACTTCCTGTTCACTTTCTTCTTTGTGCTGTAGTAAAGATGTGATCACCCAGTTTCCTGTTCCTCCCGCTTTGCCTGACACTTCCCTGATGGACTCTATTAAGACTATCTTTAAATATATTCCCCTGGATGACAGACAGCAAATGTGGATTGATGCTACCTAAGAGAAAAGCATCAAATGGACCATTCTCTTAGCTGATCATGCTACAGGCTATACACACAGGTATAAAAACCAAGCACATCCAAATAAGGGAAGAATATTTACATGCATATATTATGGCTCAATAAGAAACAGATTATTAAAGCATAATATGAGTATATTAAATTAATTCACAGTATAAATACATTTTAAGGAGTAATTTTAGTTGTGAATAATAAAATACACATATCACATCAGTTAAGCACTATTATTAATACACATTTTGTTTTTCACATATATGAAAATATATATGTAGAGCTCTTCTAAACTAAACATTTTTACATAAATATCCACTGATTTAAATAAAGGTTGACAGAGGTAGAATCTGTGTCACTGTTCATGATTCGCAGGAACAAGTACTTCAAATATTTCATTACTCTTGTGCTCTTACAAAAATCCACGTGGGAACTCACTGAAAACCATTATCTGAAAGTGAATGAAGAGAAAAATGATAAAGTTACTCAACATATTAAAGAAAAACTTAATTCAATGGTATTTCAAATTACAGTCTCTAATAAAAACTTGTTTCCCCAATCTCATCGTGTTTAGGGAGCACCAGTCTACGTGAAGACAAAGGCAGTAAGAGCAGGACTTGGGGTGCCTGGGTGACACTGGGATAAAAGAAGAAATGCACAGTTGGTCTCTGCCCCCACATACCGGGCACAGGGCTCCAGGAGGTCCTGAGCAGCAGTGATTCTGAGATGCTGATGAGGAGACCAATGGCCAAGGACTTTAGGGGAGGGGCTGCCCACCAGGCAGGTGATGCTGGGTATAGGAGGAAGGCCAAGGGCCTAGTTGCCAGTGCTAGTGATGTGTCAGTGTGCTATGCCAGGTACTGAAGTCTCTGTAAAGGCCCAAGGGTGCTAGGGTTGGAGACCGCCCAGAGAGCTGGACACTTGAAGTTGTACTTGGGAGGGAATGGAAGCCTTGCACTTGGTGTTTGGCCATTCATTGGTATCTTTTGTAGTAACTGGGTAATCAGAGCCCCTGGCAAATTCCATGAACTCTGGGAGGGAAACCTGTGGGACCCTAGGTTTAAGAGCAGGAAGGTTAGAAGCACATCTGGGGCTGTACTTGGCACCTGGTGAGGGGAGGAGTCTTGCTGGCCAACCCTGACCAATGGGATCCGGCGCTGTCTCCAGGCAGGGCAGTTTAAAGGAATGAAATTATAGCACACCTAGTTGCTGTGTGATGGAGAATTAATTGTCAGAAGGGTTGTGTTGAGTGTGTGGCAGTAGGAAAAACAGGCTTTCCTATCTCCTGTGGTATCAATAAAAAGAAAGTAAGAGCAAAAATTGGGTTATATATTTTTACTACTAGAGAGACACTAATCTGAGAAAGGATTCCATGTGTAATTTGTCTCTGAGTGCTCACTGGAGAAATCCTTTAAAATTAGCTTTAGTGACATTACCCAGAAATATCTACAAAAATGGATTACTGGCTAATAAACAAGTTGGATCATTGAGAATTGTCAATTACTACAAAATTAAAAGTTGTGACTCTGCTAACAGCTGTAAAGGTTTTCTAACGCACGTAGACCTGGAGGGTTGTAACACTGGAAATGGAAAGAGTGTGGTGAGGGTGTGGAGAGCCAGAGCCGAGAGCAGGGCTGAGAGTACAACAGTGGAGCTATGTGGACCACTCTCTGCAGAGGGGGCTTGCTTGCTATGGAAGATGAAGGCCTGCGTTCAGATCCCCAGATCACACACACACACACACACACACACACACACACACACACACACACGAGCCAGACCCTGAGCAACCCCAGAGCTGGGGAAATGCAAAAAAAAAAAAAAAAAGACGGATTTTGGGGGCTCGCTGACCAGCCCAATCTAACTGAAATGGTGAGATCCAGGTTCAGTGAGGATGCAAACACTCAAGGTGGAAGAGAAAAGTCAATGTTGTAAGAATGTAAACACTAAGGCAAAAAGTAGCAACCAGGCACCATGAGAGCAGAACCCTCAACACTGGCCTCAGGATGTGAAAGCACAGAGTGACCACTGCTTGTATGAGAACTTTGAGCCTCTGAGGAAATGCTTACTATCTTCTACACACAGCACTTGTGTTAAAATAGGCAAAGAAACGCACACTTTAAAAAACCTGACTGAGCCATTTCTGTCCGTGAGTCTGCATTCTTCAGTTATCTGTCAAAGCCAGGGTCTGCCTCAGGCTATCTCCAGGAATTAGTACTAACCCTTCAACTCCGCCTCAGCTGAGGGTATCTAACATCAGCTACCTGGGACCAGATCCTCAGTCCGTGGAAGCTTGGACATGAGTGACCTCGGCAATTTCAGCCCTAAGTCTATACTCGGGGCGCTCTTCCTAGCAGCCACCAAATGCCCGTCAAGCCGAGTGTAAACTAACGGTGTAAGGGCACATCAGGGTACTCCACTGTGCAGCACACACATCAGTGGCTGGATCTCACCAATGCACCACCAGGAATAAGAGTCCAGGCATGCACAAATGCACTGATAAAATACGAAAACGAAAAAGAATCTAGGCTCTACCACTGAAGATGGCTGCTTTCAGAGCAGAGCTTGAAGCTGGAACCAAGCGAGGTAACACGTTCTCTTTGTCCCAGTGAGCCTCCTACAGCGCCTTTTCTTGATGGTCTGCTTGAGGCAGGGTCTCATGTAGCCTAGGTTGGCCTCAAACTCACTATGCAGCTGTAGATGACTTTGAACTCCTGACTGTCCTGCTTCCATCTCCTAAGAACTGGGAACACAGTTTTCTGAACTCATTCTGCGATCCGTTTCAAACTCTTACTGCTCTTTTTCTGTCTGGTCCCTACACTTCCTGTGTGGCTCAGACACAGCGGTGAGGCAGGCCACCACAGAAAAGTCTTCACTCAACTCCTCTGTATCCACCTACAGTCAAGACAGACTCGGGCCCTTCTGAGTGAGAGTGGAGCCTACATCTGCATGTAACCTCACCTCCACAGACTTTGTGTGCCCCATCCTTCCTTTCAAACCTTTCTCCCACACTGTCCCCTCCGCCCCCCATTCCTGTGCCTCACCTGCCGTCTCGAAGCCTTTCCCCTTTCATCAGCTGTCATTTGTACACTGAATTTGGTACTTGATTGTGTCACCCTCGTCATCTCATACTTCCTAGCACTTCGCTGTGGCTTTGATTCCAACCCTACAACTCCTCTGCGGGGCTAAGAATGAACCCAGGGTCGCTGCATGCCACATTCCTACCCCTTCCCTTTTCAGCTGGGTACAAGTGACACACAGTGAAACGCATGGATCACATCCTCAGCTGCTGTGCCACCAACACATGAACATTTCCGTTACTCCAGGTAGTTCCCCTCTCTAAGCCATCTCTTCTCTCTGACAGGAACGACAATTCCAAATTTTTTACAACTACAGATTAGCCTTACCTGTCCTTAGTATCTGATACATAGCTCTCTGATAACTATGCGTTTATATGTTCAGGAGACCGTATAGGAGATTTCAGAGTAGAACTCAGAGGTGACGTAGGAAGACCATGCCGGCGCATCTCCTGGATTGCTCGCTCTCTGTTGGTGAAGATCACAGAAGAGATTCTATGTAAGCACCATGCAAAGCCAAAGAGTGGCTACTGGGGTTATTGGTCAATTAGGTAACACCTACCAATGTAATTAGCATTTCTACCAGCTTCATTTTGGGTTAGTTTGTTTTGTCTTTGAAATGGAACCTTACTATGTTACCCAAGCTATCCTAGACCCAGGGGCTCAATTGATTCTCCCACCTTAGTCCCTCAAAGAAGCGGGGACTACAAGTGGATAGGATGCCTGGCTTAGCCTTATATACTTTTACCAAATCTGCAGGATTTTTATCCATATGTATGAGCATTTGCCTGCCTGCGTTCATGTCCATGCACAACACACAAGCCTGGTGCCTGTGGAGATGAGAAAATGGCCGAGTCACTATGTAAGTACTGGGTCCTCTGGGCAAGCAGCCAGGGCTCTTAACGACTGGACCATCCTTCCAGTCCCAATTTGTATTTTATTTTTTCAGTAACATGTAAAATATTTCATTTAAAAGATTAGAAGAAATTGTTCAAAGCAAAATTACGCTACAGCCAAGTCATAACATTAGGACATCAACAAAATAATATATTAGAAACGATCACAATATATCTACTAAAAAAAAGTAGGATATCAAGTATACATTCAGAAACATACAAATCCACACAAGCCAGCCAGGGTGGCACATGTCTGTAATGCCAGCACTTGGGAGGCAGAGGCCGAAGGAGAGAGACCTTGTCTCAAAAAACGAAACAAAAACAAAAACCAATTCTGAAAGAGCTTACTTTTTTCTTTATGTTTTAAAATACATTTAAGAATTTATTTCTCAAGTGTTCTGTTGACAGGCAGCTTCCTTGCCTTTACGCCATTTATGGCATCCAGCACAGTTGAGCACCTCAGTTTCACGCCTCGTCCTTTCCTGGCTCCCCTTCTGCCCGCACTGCCATGTCTTAGTTCTTTATTGGATGCTCTGCATCTGCCTGTTCTCACATCCGTGCTGGTCTCCAGGGCCAGGTTACACAGTCCTTAGTGATTCCAGCTGAGGGGGGATTCATCCCCCCAAAAGTAAATAAAATTCTACCCCTGCCCTCACAGACTTCTTATCGGCTTCTTGAGATAGTCTTCTGCTATGTAGAGGAGGCTGGCCTCAGGCTCACAATCCTCCCGCCTCAGCCTACCGAGTCCGAGGATTACAGGTGTGCCCCGTCATGCTTGGCACATGCTATTTACATTCATTCTCGTGTGTGTGCATGTATTAACTTAAAGCATTTAATGTCTGTGTATGGAGAAACCACGTATCACTTGTATGTCACTAACTTGTCACTGAAGGCTCAGTACAGTGCTTCCATGTTGGACGCTTCCTTCCTCTGCTCCTTCTTTTCTTATCTCTGTTTGCATGCAACTCTAGCCTTCTCTGTGCTCAAATCTCCCAAACGTCTGAGATAAAAGAGCCCACTTTCCCTGTCACATTCTTTCCTGGTCTCTGGAGTCTGCCAGTGCCCACTGTCTACTCTATGGCTCCACAGTCTCCAGCCTGGGCCTTTTCTTGAGCTACTCAGTACATCTTTCCTTCCTAGAGAGGTTCCTCAAACCCTTTCTTTCCTCAATATTACCCTGTCAGAGAAACTTATAGAAGGCTTTTTCCTCTCCAATTTCTCCCTCACTCTAAGAAATGTAAACAAACACACAGGACCCTGCTAGTGTACTGTGGCCTCTGAGGGATTAAGTAGTGGAACAACAAGATTATATTCCTGCTTCTTCCCACCCACAAGAATCAGGTTCTGTCTTGAGGGTGGGGTGACAGGGCCCATGAGAATGTGCCACTTCGTCTGACAGTAAAGAATAGGGAGGACATGTTTTTGAGGCCCAAGGATTCTCTGAGGCCATAGAGAGCATGACTGAGGTTACCGAAAAGTGCAGCCACCACTAAAGAAGGAGACGCTATTTATTACATACAGTCTAGCACTCTACCTTCCAAGTTCAAACAAATCACCACGGTTGTCACACCACCGTGGCAATCAAGCCCACTTCTATCTAAAGCAACAACTACTGACATCACAGCGGATCCCCTGTAGACTCAATACAACGTATCACTCAGGTTTGGAAGCAAATGGGAAAGATAAAATTTTTAAAATGATCTAATAGGCAGTTTTAGCCGACTTGAGAACAAACCTTGGGTGTCTAAGAAAGAGCAACAGAAAAATATAACTTGGCTGTTGACTTTCAAATTAGACTTTGATTATAATTCATTTCTTTTTGGACACTGGTCTCCTAGGGTGGCTCTTAAGCTCATGATCCCTCTGCCTCAGCCTCCTGAATGCTGGGACACAGGGGCAAGCCACTACATCTGGCGTGGTTTCCCTGCTAAAGCAGGTCTCATATCTGTAATATTTAGGGACTAAATGTTTTAACATGAAGTAAATGAACTAAACTACGAGCATGAAAATAATTAGGGAGCAGGGAATACATTACAGAGGTTAAGGGCTTTGGACTGAACAGATATGTTTGTACTTAAACCATGGCTCTGTCACGTACAAGTGTGATCATGTAGGCAGATACTGGGATAATCAGACACGTGTTGAGTGCCCAGCTCATAACTGCTAGCTGCACTTATGACACGATCATCATCACCTCATGATAATATGCTTCCAAATGCACTGTATCTGGGGGGCTCTTGCAGGGAGCTGGGTTATGTCACCATCTAGACTTGACTGTCACCTGCAGAATGCTCCAAGAAGCATGTCTACAGCAGTGCTCTTTTCATTACTGCAGGGATTCTGTCTCTTACAGAATCTTTTACTCTACGAGAGAATTCGCTAAGAAATTTATTTTATGTATTAATACTAAAGAAATTTGCTATTTGTAAGTCACATTACTCTTTGAATAGGCTAGAAGGTATGCAGGAATACTGTTTAATGTCAAAAAGAAACATCTTACCGCTCATATTTCTCATTTGAAATCTGCCTTTTCAGAGCATCATAATCAGCCTGCAACTGTGTCACTTTAGCTCGAAGCATAGCGGTTTCTCGGCTCTGGGTAGTTCTTAAAGACAAATGCAAAGACCTCAGCAATGAGAAATGAATGACACGTCTTGTGGAATCAAGTGCAAATACAAATGGAGGTGATGCTAAGAACAGACAAGGATCCTGGCTTTCCAACGTGGCCCTCTCGGATTCAGGGCTTCTTCTGCACTCTGTAGGTTTACTGCCAGCCACAGAGCTGGTAGCACGTGCTGCATGCGCAGCAGACATGGGAACTAGAAACAGGATGTGAAAGACCTTCTGTGGTTCTTCCTTGCCTCTTGCCTCAGGAAGAACATTGTTTTCAACTCCCCAAGTCCCTGCAAAAGGCCCATTTTTCTCCGTGCTCTCTACCCCAGGCTTTTCTCTTCTAGGACCACATCATCTCCAGTCTCCTCAAGGGAGATGGGCACACTCGTGAAGACCAGACTAAGCCTTTCCCATCTCTCACCTTGACAAGCTTTCCCTGACCGACGCCTTCGCTCACTCATCAAACTCAGGTTCTTCCTGAAGCTCACTCCTCCCCTCCCTCTCCCATGGCACCACCTTGGAGACAAGACGTACACATCTATAGTCTCAAACCCATCTCCTGAGCTATTCCTCTGGATGTCCAGAAATATCAGACAAGAAAGTCAGCTACAGTGATTTTGTATCACTTTCCCACAGTGGCCACTGTACAAGAGGTGAAAAGGAACTTGTGGTCAACACTTCCCCACACAGGTTGCTCCAGGATGCTGTGTGATGCCTGTGTTCTGACAAAGCTTGCTTGGAGCCAGAGGGCAGAGCTAGCCACTACCTGACCACAGAGGTTTGGACGACTGTAGAAAGAGGAGACAGGAAGTGGTAAGGCAGGCCTGAGAGAGGATCTTTTGGACATAGGTTTTGGGGAGGGAGGAAGAGACTGTGGCTGCTCCCCTGTTTCTCTGATCTCCCAGGTTTTTACCCTGATATCTGACTCCTGATTTTTATTGATAAGATTAGGTAGATTAGCCCTTCACCAGGACACTTACAGTTTGCTCTCGGAGAGGTTAAGCTTCTCCTTCAGCAGCTGGATTTCTGTGTCCTTCTCATGCGAGGTTAAATGGGAATGAAACTCTTTATCTCTGTTTGTAGCTAACAACAACTCCAGATTTTTAATTGTCTGTCTCTCACTTGTCAGTTGTTTTTTCAACAGTTCTGATTCAGATTTTACATTTTCTAATTCTGCTATTGCCTACAGGAAAAACAAAGATAAATTTAGTAAAAATTTAGGCTTAGTCTGAAAATTATTTATCTTTCAAAACGTTTCTTAAGTCATAAGAAGAGCCTAACAATTTAAAGTTACCTTTGCTACTTTTACTAAGGGCTTATCCGGCTTTACGGCATACTTCACCCTCCAATGATGACCACCCCCATCCACCAGTTAATGAGCTTCTCCAGTCTACGCAGTATACGTGCTCTTTGACTACACATTCAGGCCAGTATTGTAACTTCAGTGTGTGGCCTACAGATATACTTCTGTGAGAGCACACATCAGCTTGTTCAAAGTTATGCCTCAACTTGGGATGGGGAAGTCCAGGATTTAGTTAGTTAATAATTTAAATGCCTTGAGATTTTTTTATCAATAAAAATTCTTAGAAAAGAATGAACTGTTTGATCTTTCAATCAAATTTTACTTCTAAACAGAAAAAGAATATTTGTTCCTGATCTACAGTTAGAAAATGCCTAAATTTCTTAAGGACCATCTATTGAAAACCCAATTTTATCCTTTTAGCACTGGGACAAAACCCAGAGCATCACGCATGGAGGCAAGGACTCCACCACTGAACTACACCCCAGCTTACTCTTGTGCTTGACAGACAGTCTTGGCAGAGAATCCATAGCCAAATCCAGTTATCGAAACCTTGCTGTCAAAATGAACTAACAGAGAACAACTCACGAAAAAGTAACGTAAAGAAAAACCGTGCCTGAGGGCTCCACAAAGCTAGGTGCCCAATCTCTCCCAGCACCTACCCTCTCCAGCTCAAGGCTTTTGGAATTCAGCTGCTGGGTCATGAGGTCCTTGCCAGAATCAAGCTTAATGCAAAGTTCTCGGAGAGATGACAGGTCACTTATCACTGCTGCTTTCTCGCTTTCAAGAAGTCGCAGCTCTTCTTCTAACCGAGACATGGCTTTGGCCATTGATGAGATCTGAGACTCGTAAGCGTGATGTGCATTGATGTGCTGAGGAAAAGAAAGCAAAACATAAAAGTAATGTAATCCAGTCACTTGAAGTGCAAGCCTGCAAAGACAGCTTCAGGAGCCTGTGTAGCCGCAAATTTCCTTCAGAAAAACAAGTGCTAATTCTTGCGTATGCTAAAACATTCTCAGGAAGTATGTGCTATTTTAAGAAAGCCTAGTTATTCTCAAAAGGAACAGCATATAATTATTAATTATAATAACTAAATAATTCATGTATACATTTAGAAGATATAAAGATGAAAATTATGCTAAAATAATATGACCGTTTTAAGGAATTTTTTCTTCATAAGTAGCCCTTGTTATAATAGCATTTTCTTATCAAATAGTAACACATTTTAAATAAATATATTTATATATAATTCCAATTCATTCTTTTAAATTCTAAGTTTTAAAACTAGGGTTTATTTTAATACTAAATACCTAAAATTTAGTCTCATTTCAATGGCCACTTTATAAGATTTTAGTAATTTTGGAATAATGAACAAAAACTGAAATACTGATAAAAGACTTTCCTAAAATAACCCACACTTTAAACTTTTTATCCTTTAATTTTATGCAATAATTATGAATTTATATAAGCTCCACTTTGGTGTTTCAGGAAAGCAGCCACTCTTAAAAAGCAAAATGATGTTAGCAGAGTTCACAGAAATCAACCAATTAAAAATCAATATTGTGCAATGAAGATTATTAGACATCATAGCTACAGAAAGGTAACCATTTGACGTTTCCAAATTAGTACACTGGGCAAACAGCAGTTCCCCAAACAAAGGAGACGTAAGCACAGGAAGCAGGCTAGCAGTGCAGCTCCCAGGCAGGACACTTTCCTAGTATGCAGAACCCCAGAGGTCCAACCTCAGCACTATAAAAACAAACAAAATAACAAAACAAAACCCTCTAAGAACCCGTTTTTTTTTTATATCATGTAAGAATATTAGCAATAATAAAGAATAAAGAATGAAGGAATATTCCTGAGAAACTCTTACAAGCAGAGAATCATCTTTAGTAAAGAATATAGTTTGGTGCCTGTTATTCCGGATTGCTGCAAACTGGGTGTGCTGGTTTGACTTGGTGGTCCCCCATAGGTTCATTGAACCAGGTCCCCAGTTGGTGGTGCTCTTGGTGAGCTATGAAAATTTTGGGACAATGAGGCTTGCTAGAGAAAGTAGGTCACTGGGGATGGGCGTTTAGAGGTCATGGTCTTGCCCACTCCCTGCTCATGTTTTCTGTGTGTGGCTGAAGGTGTGAACTCAGCTTCCTGCTCTGGCCTCCTGCTGCCATGCCTCCCTCCACCCATTATGGATTTTCCTCTACATCTGGAAACCAAAATAAACTTTCTTCCTTAAGTTCCTTTTAGTCATGGTATTTATCACAGCAGAGGAAAGTCACTAAAAACACTGAATACCATCCTTCCCCTTTGGATCTGGAGGCTGCAAACCATTATTTGTTTTAAGAGACTTTTTTAAAAAAATAAATAAATAAACTTTACTTGTTATGGGTATTTTGCTTGCAACTCTGTACACCATGTGCATGCAGTGCCCACAGAGGCCAGGAGAGGGCTTCAGATCCCCTTGAAACTGGAGTTACCCACTGTTGTGAGTCAGGGGGCATCAAACCCAAGTTCTCTGAAAGGGTAGCCAGAGCTCTTAACTACTGAGCCATTTCTCTAGCCCTGCAAATCCAGATGCTAAGTTATCAGGACTAGCTCCAGAGACTCTGAAGCAGACAGCTGAGTGTCTCTCTCCTAACTCTCTTTGGTGTTTGCCTCGTAGATATCTCTGCCTCCTCCAATTTCACAGTGCTCTCCCATGTCCCAAATTTCCCTCATCTTAGAGAGACGTGGATGTCCACTGGATCATGCTCTACCTTAGCCAGCATCTTCTAATCTTAACCACATCTGCAAAGACACTACTTCAACAAGGTCACATTTGCAAGCACTTGGGCATTCAAAATAATTTTTCAGCAGTCACGGTTCCACCCATTCTGAAGCCCACAGTATAGGTCCTTCTCAAGCATGAAACACCTGCATGGTATCTAAAATTCTTGAATTGACTAGGTTTAATATTTTGAATGTGTTTACTGTGGGGTGGAGGCGTGCGTGTGGAGATCAAAGAACACCTTGCAGCATTCAGTGGTGTCTTCCCATTATGTGGGATCTGGCTTTGTGGCAAGTCCCTTTACTCAGTGCACCAACTTGCTGGCCCTGCATCCACAATAACAGCATAAACTCTCATATCCTCAGGCATCATCTAGATGAGATATGAATATGACTCCGGTGCACTTTGAGTAACATTTTCCTCTATCTGCCGAGCTCTAACCCTAGAAAACAGGTTGGAGTGTTGGACACAGCGCAGATGGCTCTTTCTACAGGAGAGGAGGAATACGGTGGCTAGCGGTTCTGTCAGTCAGCTTTCAACACTGCGAGCAATTCTGAAGAAGCATTTGGAAGGACAATTCTGTTTAGGCCTCAGTTTCAGAGATTTCAGCCCATGATCACTTGGCCACACCACTTCCGGATTGCAGTGAGGCAGTAAGTGTATCATGACAGGAATGAGTGGCCAAGGAGTCCACTCACCCCACTGCATCAAGAAAAGCAAAAGGGAGCTAAGGAAGGACTAAGGTCCCACCATCCCCTCAGAGATGTACCCTTGTACATCTAACTCCTTGTAATGAGCTAACTCGTTGTGAGCCTCCAATCCCTTGCAGAACATTACCGGCTGGTGACCAAGTCTTTAGCCCACAGGTCTTTAGGAGATGTGTGAGATGCAAACCATAACCCTAGTCCCAGGTAAGCTTGCAATCAAGCAGGGCAACTTCTATTCGATTTCAAGTCTTAAGAGTAATTATCTGTGACACTAATGCACTGTCCCCTGGGCCTCCCAGCATGGTCTCTTTCTTAATCCTCAGGGACACTGGCACTTCCTGTACCTGCAATCCTAGATTCCATGTCCTCTGGCTTCTGGTAGCAGTGAAGACCAGCCAGCCTCTGAGCTGCCCTTAGGAGCACCACTGTGGCTTCTGAGACACCCTTAGAGTCATTCTCCCTTTCTTAAAGGTGACTAGCCACCAGAAGACAAGAAACCAGTGTCCCATCTTCACCTAGGAAGACGCCAGGGGCCCAACAGCTTTTCCTTCCTTCGCTTCATGTCTGTCCCTTCTGATCATAGCTGGCAGTCTCTGCTGAGATGGCTGGCTGGACCCGTGGCTGCCATCCTGAGTTACCCAGTCACACTGCCAGGCTGCCTACAGGGTATTATGTGGATGGACATGCTGAAATACTTCTTAAGGCCATTAAGTTCTGGTTCCTTCTGCACCCTCTCTCATAATGAGGCTTCCTTCCCACACTGCGTGGGCATTTCAGTTAAATCTCAAAGTTCATCTCTTCCATGTTCTAATTCTGCCATGTTCTTCATAACAAGGTCACCCTTTTCCCAGTGTCCAGTAATATGTTCTTCAATTCTATTTGAGACCTTGCTAGAAGAAATATTCCATATATAATAATACATGTATTCTGCACCTAAAGAATATCTCCTCTTTTTAAAGTTTATTTATTTAGAGACAGTGTCTCCTGTAGCTCAAACTGGCCTAGAATCAACTAAATTAATGATGATCTTGAACTTCTTCCAGCCACCACACCTACCTTACATGTTTGTGGGGCTCATAGTCAGGGCTTCATGCATGCTAGGCAGGCATTCTACCAACTGAACTAGTCCCCCAGGTCAATTTTCTCTTTATGAAGCCCATAGTATCAAAACTTCTAGAAATGATCTCTTCAAGACAATCTAGGCTTTTCTCAGCACATACTCAAAGCCTACCCAGTTTCTGTTACCCAATTACCCGATTCTAAGACTTCCATACTTCCAATGTCTGTTACCGCAGTGACTCTCTTCTTGATCCCAAATCTATATGAGTGTCCTGAGGCTGTAGCCTCAACTCTAGTGGCTTTAAACAGAAATGTCCTCTTCATAGTTCCAGGGGCTATAAATGCAAATGTCAAATGACAGTAAAGTTGGTTCCCTCTGGAGAGTCTGAAACAAAATCATCCCATGCCTGCATCTTTGGTTCTTGAAGTTGCCAGCTGTGATCCCAGCAACAATCCCACCCTGGTCTGTGCATCGTGGTTGTCCCCATGTCTTTGTCTAAAAAGCCATTGTTTTGTAAGGGTCTTAGACTTGGCCTCATTTACTTGATTATATATACAAAGACACTACTACAAAATAAGAGACTAAGGTTTAGGACCTAAATACATATATATTTTGGAGGTTCTAACTCTGTGCACTACAGAGTTGTTACTTTCTTCTGAAAGATGTAAATAAGAAAATTATACTAAGAAAAAATGGGCAATATATTTACATCAAAGTAAGATTTCTTATTAATTTAACTGACTTCCAAAGTGTATTAATAAAATTTTTACTCAACTGTCATTATAATGAAAGCTTATTTATGTCTAAATGCTAGATCAGGGATACTGCTCTTCCTCCTGACCCATCTCTCTAGCCCTTTGCTAGTCATTTTATCACAGCAACCGGGCCAGTAACTAGCACACCATGTCAACAGTGATGGGGCTGTCAGGATCCAAAATACGGAAATAACTTCACCAGAAGGTGAATGGCTAAGCCACATTTTAATGCCTATTATTCAGCTTTAGAAAAGGACAAAACATGATTCAAGGGAGATAAGTTCTGAGATGAAGTGAGCTTGGGAGGATGGAAGTATTCACACAACAGGGTGGAGATTAGTGCAGTGTTACACTAATGCTGTAGGATCTCACACTTGAGATAAAAGGCAAATTTCATGTCGCCCACTGTGGTAGTCTGAATGCAACTGGTACCCATACGCTCATAGGGAGTGACACTATTAGGAGGTGTGGCCTTGTTGGAGGAAGTGTGTCACTGTGGGGGTGGGCTTTGAAGTGTCCTATGCTCAAGCTACACCCAGTGACAAAGTTTACTTCCTGCTGCCTATAAATCAAGATGTAGAACTCTCAGCTCCTTCTCCAGTACCATGTCTGCCCACATGTTGCCATGTTCCACCATGATGATAATGGACAAAGCCTCTGAAAGTGTAAGAACCTCAGTTAAATGCTTTTTTATGTAAGAGTTGCCGTGGTCATGGTGTCTCTTCACAACAATAGAAACCCTACCTAAGACAGCCACGTCTTTACTATAATGACAAAGGGAACGGGCACTCAAGCAAGTTAGGAGCGTCAGTAGCAGAGGGTTAGCTTTGAGCTGGAGCTCAGCAGTGACTGGTACAGTGTCTCTGAGTGTATCACTTACTGAGTGGTCTTGTCACTAGACAGTGGCACCTTACCTCCTGGATTTCCTTCTCGAGGAGCTCCACTCTCTCTCGCAGGTGCCTTCTCTCGGTGTCGATGGACAACAGCTCCAGGCGGACTGAGCTGCTCTCCCCTTCAGCTTGTTGGGCTTTGATCTCCCAGTCCTCAGCACGGTTGTGAAGCATCTGGAATCTGTCTAGCAAGTCTTTGTTTTCATTTTCCTGGTTTAAGAACAATTACGTTATTTCTAAGTCAGTATTGTCAATAAGATCTATATCACAGACACAGACACACAGACACACAGACACACAGACACACACACACACACACACACACACACACACACACCACACAGGACTGCTTGAATTTAGAAAACATCAGTATGTGTACAGACACTATACTAAGATCCATGGTGAAATATAAAGTCAGTAGGAAAGACCTCTACTCTCAAATGTCTAATATGTAATATTGAATCTCAAATGTCCAATACATAATACTGGAGGCAGAATTAAAGGCAAAGAGAGCTCTTGGAAAGCCAGTCTTAAATGCAAGCCAAACACTGTTATTCACCTTCGCAGCCATGAGGCTCTCCCATCGTGACACCTCCGTGATGTACTTATGAACTCTGCTCTTCATCTCTTCCTTCTCCTGTACTGCTGTTTCTAATTCTATTGAGATTTCCTGTGAGTTGGCCAAGCAGAAAGAGTCAATGTTAGCTCTAGTCACATCAAACACATCCTTTGGAATTGAAGAAACAAGGGGAAAACTTCTATTGTGTTATTTTCATGTATTTCTGTGACTGACCTTGGTGCATGTGTGTGTGTGTGTGTGTGTGTGTGTGTGTGTGTGTGTGGTGTGTGCATTGGTGTATGGGTGAACAAACTCATGTGCACAGGTGGAGAGCAAAGGAGGATGCCAGCTTCCCTTCGTCACCACTCTCCCCATATCCTCCCGAGCAGACCCTTCACTGGAAGTGAAGTTCCCCATTTCAGCGAGGCTGGCCAACAAGCTCCTGAGATCTGATGTCTATGACCTCCAACTCTGGGGTGACAGGCAGCCATGCCAGGCTTTTATGTGAGTACAGGGGAACTCTGAACCTCTTACCTTCATTTCACAGCCAGCACTCTTAGTCACTAAGTCTTCTCCCCCTCCCTGACCTGGATTTTTCAGTAAACTTTTCCACAAAACTGCCATGACAGTCCTGATCATGTATTTGATTTTATATCATGGCCAGTTATAGTCAGTAGTTGACATTAAAAAGTTGACATATTTACAATATAACTGATACTGAATACTAAAAGTAATTTTCTAAACATAAAAGAAACCATGGGGTGGGGGCTGGAGAGATGGCTCAGAGATTAAAAGTACTGGCTGCCCTTCCAGAGGTCCTGAGTTCAATTTCTAGCACCCACATGGTGGCTCACAACCATCTGTAATGAGATCTGATATCCTGTTCGGCCTGTAGGAATATATGCAGGTAGAATACTGTATACATAATAAATACATCTTCAAAAAAGAAAGAAACCATTGGTCTTAAGAGCATAATGCTGTAATAAACCATTATATAAAAAAACTACCTTACAATATCTGCCATTAAAAATATTCTTTTATTTACTTACAGATATAGCTCTGAGACAACAGAAGTAAGTGCAAACGAAAACCTATCACGGGTCCGTTGTAAAAAGAGAAGTTACCCTAAGAGTGATGCTGCTGTCCCTACCCAATGCTATGACAATAACTTCTATCACAGAGAAGGCCATGCTACTCAGAAACAAAAACCAAATGCTATTAGGTCTGGGGACATGTTAACAAAATTGTACTTGCTAACTACCACTCAGACAGCCACTGTTCCCCTCAAGGACTTACACGGCTTCCATTCAATACCATTGCATTTTAGGAGAAAATATTTAGAAGTTTAATACTTAGCAAATATTAAGTTCCATGAAAAATCTTTGCCTGGTGTCATACCTGGTTTTCCCTTGCCATCGTGGCCAGGTCATCTTGTAACCTTCTGTTTTCCTTAAAAGAGATCTCCCTAGATTTCCCAACGTCCTCCAGCTCTGTGTGAGCTGCATCGAGCTGCCGTCGGAGGCTGTTTATCTCTCGGTCTCGATTAGCCAAGGTGTCCTTTAGCTGGCTGCCAAAACATGGTGTGGCAGTAATAAAGCATTATGGCAAACTCTAGTTTACTTCAAATAAGACTAGAACATTCTCAATAAGTGCGTGAGTACACAAGAGTACAGCTGCTGCCTCTGACACTCATTAAAAATACTCAGGGACTTTAGATCCTATCAAATAGATGCAAATAAAGCCTCAAAATACATATTCTTATTTTACAAGTTAAGCAAACATAACATTTTCAACTGTTAGGAGCAAAATATAAAACATCATTAAATATTTAATTTTTATATTAAATTATATTATAATATGATGTTTATAATTCCATTATTATACAAGACATAAAGGTAGGTAAAATAAATATAATAAGTGGCTTTTGGTTTTAGACCAGACACAAAATGTAAACTTTTGAGAGTGCTCAGGATAGGTTAAATTGAAGAACAAATGGGAAACCTGGCTATGAACACAATCCACGATGAGATGGGCAGGACTTTCACAGATGACTACATAAGGACAAAGAGCAGGCAGATAAAAGCACACACAATAGGAAACAACAGAGGCAGAGAGCAAGTCAGAGCAGGGGGCTGAGAAAGCAAGGTTGCCAGTGGCAAATCCGGGAACTTCACAGGAGACAGTCTCCTCTCACCAGATTGCTAACTCAGTAAGATCACTCACTGAGATTTTCTCAAACACGGACCGCCCTTCATTGACTACTTACTTCAAAGATGTTTCATACTCTGCGACTGTGACCTTCACCTGGGCAATAGCTTTCTCCTGAAGAAATTACAGAAACATAATGGATTCTAAATCATTCACAATCATTCTTAGCTAAATTTGCATAACCTACTACATTTAGATAGTAAGTAGCTAAATATACAGTTCAATTATATAAACCATACATAAACGCAAGCTCTAGGTAAAAATAGTTCTATATCCATGTCTATGTCACATCTTGGTATGTTTCTACCCATCTACAAACTGCAGCGGTTTCTTCAAAGTGTGCTTTAATGAAATAAAAATCACATTCTCGGAATTGATAAATCCTATCTTAAAGATTCCTATTACTAGGCTAGAAGGAAATTTAGACTTGTCAAAGACAGCGTGGGTCTCAGGAATTGCCCGTGGGCTCCCACTGAGACGCCAAGGAACATGCGGCGGATACATACTTTGCTGGTGAGGCTCTCTTGCAGGCTGGCGATCTTCTCTGTCTTCTCATCCACAGTCTCCTGGAGAAAGTCCTTCTCTTTGTCAATCACGCCAATGGTCTTCTTCAAGGCGTGAGCTTCTTCACTTTGGGATGTTATCTTACAGCTTAGTTTTTCTACACAGAGAGAGGAATGTTTGTTAGACGGAGGCAATTAAGGTTAGCAAAAGCAAGATTTCAGAAGGCTCACCTAGTTTTTCCTCCAGAACTTTAACTTCTTCTTGGGCGGATTCAAGTTCACCTCTTTTTATGGAAAGTCGGTGCTGGCAGTCATCAAGTGACCGCTGCAGCTGTTCATTTACCATCCTAAAATGGCGGACAAAACAAACGGCATTCTTTATCTCTCACAAAAACAGCTTTGTTATGTGAATGGTCTTAAAATATTTTGATTTATTTAAGTTTCTTTTATTTCTTATTATAAAGCTCTTCCAGTATATCAATGGCATTCTATTATACAATATTATTCTTGCTGTCCACCATTCTTCTCCAAAATGGTACCATCTTCTTAAAAATAATATGGCATAAAAATGAAATTAATTGTATATTCTCTTCTAGAAGTTTCTTGGCAGTTTTAATGTTCTCCTCAGTTTCCTAACATCAACCCCCTTTTCCTCAAAATGTATTTCCAATAGTGGAGACAAAGAGAAAGTCCTTTCTTTATAACATGGCTGGACACTCCAGACTCTCCATAAGTCTTCAACATCCTGACCATGAAAGCTTGCAATTTTGCTTCTTTTGATTCTGAGGGGCAGACGGCTATAGGTACGTTGAGAAGGTAGGCATTTTTACAGTGAAATGGGATAAGACTAAAGGCTGGTTTCAGGGAACAGGGGAAGGAGTCGTGGGACCTGAGGAGGTCCCTGGTAAAGACTGTCTCAAGACTCTATTACTAGTTGGAAGTACCAGTTCCTTCAGAAGGAGCATCTCGGGAGCTGTAACAGAAGTCTTGGTTCTCAGTCACAGGCTTCCAAATGCTTCTAGTGGGAAAGCACTGACCCAGCCTGGACCATTCTCACCTCAGGCGGTTTGCTGCGAATAGCTTCCTTTTGGGTTTCCTTTGAGGACAAGACACCAAAGAAGATCCTAATGACAGTTTGAGTTAGAAGTGCCTAGTGAGGAAGAGGTCTGGTTCCCAAGACAATGAGTAAAATGGGACATCTCTACAGAAATAAACAAATTTTTGCTTTTCCATATGAAGTTTAGTACTGTTCTTTCGAGATCTGTGAAGAATTTTGCTGGAAGGTAGGTTTAGAAATTCAATGGCCTATTACATTAAACTATTGGTGAGCTTTCTTGGAGGCTCTCCGATGTGCCCAAGGTGCCAGCCCATTAGGAAGGCTGTGAATAGCATCACATGGTATAGCAGGAAAGGAAGAGGGGTCCCAACAGGAGAGTAGGAGAAAGCGGAAGTGCAGTGTGAAGAAGGAAAAGGAAAGCCAAGGCCGTCGACTGACCCACAGAAGACCAAGAACAGACCTACTGACTTCTCTAGCTTTTTGTCTTTCTGAATTATAGGTGAAATTCTTGAATTTGTTCTTTATTTCACCAGCTCAGTTTTCTACAGTGGCCAATCTCTTTAACTCCATAGTGCTCACTAACCTTCTTGGGTGACATTCATCAGTCTTTTAGAACCAGCATCACTACTCTCCCTTCGGATTGCAGCTACTGCTTATTATTGCAGAGATAGGAATTCTGTTGATGTTTCAGAATCTCTTCCTAATTTTTATGGTAAATATAATTAAGAGGGAGAGATTCCCCCTGACCCTTTCTGCTAACCTCCAGTTGCCTTCTGCTTTGTTTGTTTATTTGTTTGTCTACCTATGCTTAGAACAGTTTTATCGGGGGGGGGGGGCTGACACTATTAGCTTTTATCTCTTTAAGTTTTATGTGCTTGAAACTGACAAATGGCTAAGCAATAACTCAGCAATCCAATGCATACATTATGGATTACTGTCCTGCTATTTTATTCCCATATCCATCACCTTTGATTTTATAAAAGAAACATTTCTTAAGTTTGCCTTTTCCCTTCAAGTCCATACTGTCTCAGTGCTGACCTATGACCTCTGTCGCTTATCGCCCATCTCTAAGACTCCAAATCCATGCTCTCTGCGCTATCAGAGTTAGCTCGCCTAGCCTTTGGCTACATTTTCGTTTTCTAAATCAGAATGGTTTAAAAAAGGAAAAAAAAATAAATAAAAAAAATAAAAAAAGGACATGAAACATTCTGAATTTCTATTATTTTAAAAGAGGAAAGAAAAAGGAGGAAAAGGTCCACAAGGTAGAAGGCCTAAGAGCCCAGCAATCCTTCCCTGCAGAGCACAGTGTCTTGAATATTTACTAAGGTACCAACAACTGACGATCATGTCATCTTGTGAAAGTTTCAAAACTAGAGATACCCAGATCTATCCAGACTCACTCAGGTAAATCAGGTAACCCCAGACCTCCCTCTATCCTCTCCAAAAGCTCCAGGAAGACGGTACCATGAGGCCATCTTGGGAAAGCACTGTTTAAAGACACAGAGCTGAATGCCATGGTGATGAACCTTGCATAACCAGAAGAAGCATGTCCCGGAGAAGAAGTAACGAAATCTTTAACAGACTTACCTAAGAGAGTTCATCTCTGTTTTCTGATGAGATGAGTCACCAGCCACGTGGCTAAGCTTTTGAGCTTGGAGTTTTGATTTGGTCTCCAATGACTCTACTGTTTCTTTCATTATTAATATTTTAGATTGCAATTCATATTTTTCACGTTCGAGCTATAATTTAAATGTAAAACATTAATAAGCATATATAGTAATATCTTATTTTTCATAGCTATACTTTAATAATATTTCTGGAAGACAATTATGGACATATGTTAGGTTTTTAATACACTGAACATCATCTGTACTCTTAAGATCAAGATGTCAGGGTCAGTGCATCCTCTGCCTTTCTTTCCTCACTATCACTACAACAACAGAAACGCACAGCACAAATGACACAGGAAGGGAGACGATAAGCAGGATGAAAAATCAGAGGAACTTCCTAAAACACAAACAAAACCCTCAAAACCCTCCATGGTTCATTTCTAGCTTTTGGAACCAAGAGACACCTCCCCCTCAAAAAGTAACCCTCAAACCTGCAATAAGCAGACAGGAATTACACAAAAATGAGAGTTGAAAAGAATGTAACCACAAAATGGTCGCGATTTATATGAGAAACAAAGTGAAAGTTTCCCTGTACTGTCTAAAGAGAGACCTGACAATGCAGACTGCCGTGCTTCCCTGAGTAGGAACATAATACTTTAAATGTATTAAAATTTCATCAAGTTATAAATTCAATGAAACGCCAATAAAAGCAATTCAATTAGGAATTGATGGCACCTTACACTTTAATTCTTTTAGAAGAAAGGACAAACTGGGAATGAAAGAATAGAAATAAATTTACCATAAGAGATACTAAAATAAACAATAAAGCTACGGCAACTAAAACTGGGCTTTGTGTATAAATGGACAAGAAAACACACCCATTTCCCCCATATAAGAGCATGGAGAATATGAAGAAATCATAAAACAAAAAGAATATCTCTTATGTGGTTTAAAAAATACATCTGACCCTCCATGAGCAGGCTGTAGTCATATTCTTTTCCTGCCATACAAAACCACAATCCTGAATCTTCTTTCTTATTTTCTGTTTGTTTTTCTTTTTTGTTTGTTTGTTTTAAAGATGGGATCTTGCTATGTTCCACAGACTATCCTGAACTCCTATGCTCAAATGATCCCCCTGCCTCAGCCTCCTACAGGGCTCAATCTGCAGGCATGCACCACAGCACCAAGCATCCCGTTTTTCTTCTGTGGCATTCCTTCCTAAGCTATGCACCGCGTAGTTACATTTGTTTTACATGAATAGAATCACACTCTAGGCTTTCAGCAACTTACTGTGTTGGTAGAACACACATGGTAGCAGCCATACATGCTGAGGTTAGTAACTTTCATCCTATTTCTGCTCAACAGCACTCCACTGTATGATTTAAAATCATGAACTTGTTCAAATAAATCCTTCCGGCTTTATGGGGCCTGTCGTCTGTCACTGCCACTCCAGTGAAGCACGGTAGCAGATGCAGACAATACAGAGACACAGCAAATGACCGCTCACTATCTTCACTAAAACTCAGTTGACAGAGCAGTTAGTGCGTCTAGTCCAGGAACCACAGTTTGCTGACCTTCCATATAGAGCAACTCTCTAGGAATGAGCTGCTGCCGCCTTGGAAGCCTGCAGCTGCTATTCATGCCTGCTGTGCTTTAAACACGAAATGCTCACTACAAACTTGGGTGTTGAAGGCTTGGTCCCCAGCTGGTGGCACTTTTTGGGGAGGTGTGGGAACTTCAGGAAAAGGGACCTCTTAGAAGTAAGGAGGTTGCTGAGGTGTGGCCTGAGGATGATGCACAATGTTCCCCGCCTCCCACCTTCACGGCTCTCTGCTGTCAGGTGAGCAGTGCTAGTCTAGCAGACCCTCTCCACCATCACTGGCTTGAGAGCCAAGCAATGGAAGCAGCCATGGGCTGAGCCCCTGAAACCAGAAGCCCAGATAAACCTTTCCTTACATTGCCTTGCTCACAGGAAGGAAAGGCTGACAAACACAGAAAACAGGCAAAAAAGAAGTGGGCTGTTGTGATTCCCTAAGCATGGAGTTCAGAAGCCTTTGGAACTAGCTTACAGAAGGGACTTGGAAGAGTTTAGAGAAGTGAACTACCAAAAACCAAGACTGTTAAAATGCGGAGCCAGTTAGGCAACTCTGATGGGAGAAGACCAGAATGCTGACAGAAATGTAGACAGCTAAGGGCCAGGCTCAGTTTCAGAAAACAAGAACTCAGGAGGAAAGAACTAGAAGCCATGTGTGTTACAATGTAAGTTCTGTGCATCCCTGAGACTTGTGACAATGTCATAAATGTCGAGATACTAATTAACCTGGAGGAGAAAACTTCAGGCAGTGGCGTGATGTGGGAGTGTCATATATCAATCTGTTGATTTCATTGGTTAAGTTATAATAAACCAGCTGCTTGGCCTCATGGCTTGGAACATAGATGGGAGGAGTAAACAGAATAGAATTCTGGGCGGAAGAGGAAGTGAGGTCAGACTCTGCTCTGCTCCCGAAGAGACGCCATGCTCAGCTCTCCCAGGATGGACTTAGGCTAGAATCTTCCCGGTAAGCGCACCTTGGGGTGCTTACACACATTATTAGAAATGGGCTAGTCCAGGTGCGAGAATTAGCCTGTAAGGGCTAGAGTTCATGGGCCAAGCAGTTCTTAAATGAATACAGTTTGCGTGTTGTTATTTCGGGCATGAGCTAGCCAAGCTGCCGGGGTGTTGGGGACGCAGCCCCGCCGCTCATATTTCAACAGTGGCGTACTCGTGTGACTTGGTTATGTCTGGCAGCTGTTAGCCAGGTTAACAGCAAATGCCAGAGCAGAGAAGTTGAAAGACCGCAGCCTGGGCCAGAAAATAAATAAGAGTGAAGTGGGGCCAGCAAAGGGATGGCTATTGAAGAAAGCAGCCATACCAAAAATCAGCCCCAGCCTTTGTAACGGGATAAGAAACCCTGAGAGCTCGGCTGGTCCATGCTCATCCTGGCTCACAAATATAACCCCTGTGAGGGACTAGGCTTTGAGGAAGGAACAGGGGCGCTTCCCTCTTCACACCATGGCAAGTATTTCTCAGTGGCTGCTGCAGCCATGGTCCAAGTAGGCCTGGCTACTGCTCAAACTGGAGGCAGACACTGTGAACCTCATGCTTCAGCCTCAAGTAGCTAACTGCAAATAATCTTAAAACGATTGCTGGGTGTGGTCTATTTGAGGCAGGAGCCAATTTCTCATTCTTAATATATGTAGCCGTTCATTTAGAAAGAACCACTAAATCACACTCTTTACTCACTGATCTGTTTCTGTATATGTTAGGTTCCTTTTATGCAGGTTTGTTATATTTGATTTAGTCAGATAAGGATAATAAAGATTAGTCCTTATCTTAATTATAATGGCCCTAAAAACCCAGTATCAATCAATGTTCCTTAAACTTCTATGTTACTTTTGGCTCTTTTTCCATATGAATTCTGGAATTTCAGAGTACCCAACTGTAGAAAATACATACTATCTAGTTAGTCTAGAATGGCTGCATCTGTACTGATCATATACAGTTTTCCCCATCATTATTTCCTAAACAACACAGCATTACAACTATTTACATTGTATAAGGTGTTAGATAGTTGATATGGGAGAATGTATAGATTATATACAGTATTAAGCTGTTTTATATAACAAACTTGAGAATCTTCAGATTTGAGTATCTGAGGATGTCCTGGAAGCAATCTCCTGCAGATACTGAGGGCTAATTATCAAGAAAATTAACAGTGAGCTTCACTTTTTAGTCTGATTATTGGGGTTTATAAGACCAAACCACAATAATCACAGCTAGCCACTACAGATACCTGCAATATTCCAGTACTCTTAAGTGTGACATGCATGTTGTTCATCCATTACACTTTCATAGGAACCCCAAGAAACAGAAGTGTTAGTCCTAAGACATAAATGAAAAACACCGAAAGACAGAAATCAAGAAACTGGTCTAGACAGGAAGCCAGATTTGAACCAAGTAACAAGTCTCAGAGCACACACTCCTCCTTGCTGCATATCAGTTTACAAAGACATACAGTACACTAAAAGCATCAGTGGCCCAGTCATCCATCTAATGTAATATTCCCCAAATCCTTTGATAAATTACCTGGTGATTCATATATGTCAAATGTTCAATAGTCTTCTCTAATTCTGATTTTCCAAAAACATTCATTTCTTGGATATTCTGAAAAAGAATTGCATAGAGAATGTTCATCTGTATCAAATAATCACAAAAGTAAGTAATGCAAGTTTTCAGAGCTATGTCTCCTATTGCACAGACTCTATAAATGTTTTAGAAAGGCCAGGCATTTTACAAAAGCATTCTTTCAGTTAGAAAACGTTATGTTTCCAACCTTCATGTGTTACACAGAGAAGAAAATAGCGTGGACTCATTTAAAAAGACTTAGCTGGATGGATCCTTGTTAACACAGGCATCATACGGGGAGAGCACGCTAAGTCACAGAGCAGGAATGCGCCCTCACAAGAGGAGATGTACATTCCCCACCAACACTCACTTATTTTTTTTTTAAACAGGGCCACTGATAGAACCAAGAATCTCATGCTAGATTAGAGCTCAGAGGTAAGAAAAATAGGACTCAGAAGAAAATACATGCCAAGGAAGATATAGGCAATGGAATAAGATTAGTTTAAGAACTGGCTGGTATAGATGGTTTGTTTTCTGATTATATTATATCACACAAGCCCCAGCTGCTGCCAAGTCAAGGGCACAGAATGGTCACTGAGTTTTTCTAATGGAGATGTTTACTCGTATTCATTAAAAAGCAGGATTCCATACGATTGTACATCTAGTTAAAGGGATCACGGCTGTGTTAATTAAATCATTTAAACAGTGCTCATATGTGTTCTATATCAAGCACCAAGCAAGTTGTCAGGGCGCAGCCATGAGGAAAGTCTCTGACATCATAGATTATATGCAGTCTTGTAAGAAAGACAGACCTAAAACAAGAAACTAAAATAAAGCCATGAGGGCAGGAGGCCAAGCGTTCAAGGTGATACTAATTTCTAGAGCAAGTTTAAGTCAGCCTGCGCTACAGGAGTCCTTGTCTCAAAATAAATTAAATCCTGTTAGAAAGTGCTCTGCAGGTTGCTAAAGGAAGACGGACATCAAGAGGCACACCAAGTCCTAGACCTTGCATATGGCAACACTCACCTGCCAGGTAACATGTGCCACTGGTGCAGTGGTGGCAGGGCTGTCACAGGTACCCCTTTCTCATTAGACTCAAAGCCTGCTCCACAGAGGGAACTGCATGGCTACTGAGTCTGCTGTTGTAAATGGCCATGCTGCCAAAGTGCCTCCAAATGCTTGTGCTCACACCTACACACCTGGGCTGCTCTCTCGACCTTCTTTGCAGGGGGCCACAGCCAATGGAGAGATGCAGAATTGCCCAAGTGTTGAGAATAAGAGGCTTACACCGGATATGGATATCAACTCCCTCTCTCCAACCGAGGCTAAGGGAATGTCAGAGAAGGGGAGCCAGGAAGGGTGTGAAAGCTGCAAGCTGGGGAAGGGTGCTGTGAAGTGCTGTCCTCCAGACACGGCATGGCCACCACACTCCTGCACTCACAGCTGCTGGGATTATGTGCACCAGGCACACACAAAACCAAGCCAGTCAACACTGTTGCACAGGTGGAGTAGATGATCTCCAGGCCACACCCTTCACTGAGGAGCTGCTGGCAGCTGATAGTCTGAAGAGGGAGAATCATTCTTTTGTAAGAATACAACTGTTGATAAAATTCCTATGCCCCAGTGGATGGCCCGAAACCACACATATAGGCAGCAATGACTCCAGTTATTAAAAAAAAAGAAAGAAAGAAAGAAAGAAAAAAAGAAAGAAAGAAAGAAAGAAAGAAAGAAAGAAAGAAAGAAAGAAAGAGGAAAGGAAGGAAGGAAACTGAAACATGAGGGGAGGTGAGAGGGGCTAAGAAGAATAAATATGATCATACTTCATTTATATACATGCATGAAATTCTCAAGCATAAAGGAAAATAAACATAAACAAGTAGTTTTTTTTTACTAGGCAAGGAGCTTTATTTTCATATGTCAAAAGGCATCTAGAGCCTCGTGCTCACTGCCTGAGGTCTTAACCTGGAGCTAGAGGAGGAGTACAGATAGGAAGGCATCTGAAGAGGTGGAAGACTCTCAGTCCACTGCAGGAGACTCATGGCAAGAAAAGGCCCCTTAAGCCAAAAGTCTGGAGAAAAAGGAGTAGGAAATAGCAAAAATGAGTGTCAGGAAAAGATGACAGGCCTTAACATAGGCCAGGGCTGATCGCTAATGATCTTTTAACAGGTAATTAACTTTACTAGAAGTAACATGACCAGACTTACATCTTTGAAAGGTGGGTCAGAGCACAAGGGCAACACTGTAAGAATGCCTGTGAGCATAGCCACTACAGGATGGGGGCAGAAGACAAAGAAGGGAACAACTGAAAGGAAGGGAAGGAGGACGCAAGGAGACTGTAAACACAGACGGGGGAGGCTAGGCAAGTTATTTAAATTCATTCAAATCCAGGGCTCTCGTCTGTACACAGGAACCACCAGAAAGGCTTTTGTGAAGATTACTGTGATGGCTCCTGTTTAAAAAGCACTGGGGACAGTTAGTTGTTCAGGAGGCAGCACCGATGGCCCTGGCTGACAGCTGTCACTCAGAGCTTTCAGAGAGAGCTTAGTCACAACGGCTGCTGGAGAGCAGGGTCAGGAGACAGGAGGCAAGAAACACTCCAGAAGGCTGGAGGAGTCAGACAAGTAGGCTGTTTTTAAGAGAAAGTTCTCTTGGAAATTCACAAAAGCCGGCCTCCTACAACCCAGAAGGGTCTGCTAATCAGAATGCAGCCTTTCTGAGCTGTTAGCACTAATATGGTGTTTTTAAAAGTCTATTTTTACATTTCTGGTCATTACAACAGATAAAGAAAAGGGTAAGTGCGTAGCTGTGCTAAAGGGTGCCATATTGCACAGAAGCTTTCTCTCTGGTAATTTTAACTGACTTTTTTTTTTCTAGAAGGCAGCATTCCAAAAGACTCCCATTAAAAACATTCTTACACTGCCTTTGGATATAAAACTTTAACTAAGATTTGTAGCATAAAGACTATGCTTAAAGTGTTTATTTTTTGTTCCTAAGTAGTTACTTTCAAAGCATTTATTTCATAATATTAAGTGGAAGAAGCATCCATGGCTTCTACAATAAGAACACTCAGAACATACCGTGTGGACTGTTACGTTATTACCACACTTATTCAGGAGCAATTATAAGACTCGTAATCCACCAAAGAGGAATAAAAACTGCACACAAACACTCCTACGAGCATTACCCATGGACGAACCTTAAGGACAGCATGCTGAGAAACACCAAACATTAAAACACATGTGGACTGGGGTAGCTCAGTGATAGAGTGATTCTCTTGTACATGCTAGACCCTGGGTTCAATACCCAGCATCACAAAATGAAAAAACGATCACGTTTAATGATTCAGTTCATATGAAATGTTCAGAGAAGGCAAACGCATGGAGGCAGAAAGTGAATTAGTAGTGCCTACAGCAGAGAAGGCCTGGGGCAAACTGAAGCTATTATAATGGACACAAGATTCCTTTCTGTGGTAATGAGTTTTTCTAAGATTAATTATGCTGGAAGTTATAAAAGACAGGGAGAAAAGGATAGCAAAAGCCACTGACCTGTCCCTTTCATTAAATGGGTAAACTGTCTGCTAGGTGAAAAATAACCATTGTCATTAAGTAAAGAAGAAAAGACTATCGACCTACAACAATCCCAAATTCAGGGTGTGGCATATTGCTTCTGCAAGGACTGATGGCAAATGCCTTGGGTCCTGGAGCTTAATGTGCCCGCTCTGACTTCCCAGCTCTGCTACCATGGAAAGCAGCTATGGACAACACTTAATCAGTGCTGGAATACTCTAGCTATGGGGCCACACACCAACAAGGTGCTTCAGTTTGGGCTGCTGCTAAGCTGGCTCCGCCTCGACGGATATACTAAGTAGTAACTTCCCAGGAAAGCGCAGTCATCAGGGTGGCAGTTGGGCAAGGGTATAATAAGGCATGCTACTTCACTTTCTCCGCCAGTACTCAATCTTAATTCCTTTCCAAAGGATATAAGCTGAATTACTGACCTTCAACTTCTCTCGCAGAGCTTCCTTTTCTGCTGTGATTCTTCTTAAGTCAGATAACGCACGCTCTTTCTCCTCCATACAACTAACAAGACTGTTGGGGACTGTCACATTAGTAGAATCCTGTCTCAGTGCACACAACTCTTCCTTAGCCTTCAAGCAGTAAGAGATAGAAAAGTACTTTAGATATATTCCATTATTTTAAAAAGGGCTTAGGGTAGGGATATATTAAATACATGCTTCTTTCCCTTTCTTCCCAAATCCCAATAAAATAAAAGTAAAAGGATTAAAATTAAATACTAAAGTCCCAAAGGCAAGAAGAGTGAGAGAAACTGCGGCTACACAACACTGGAAACTAGAAGCAGACGGACAGAGAAGAATTAACTAGGTGGACTCCAGAAGGCTGAGAGCTAAGTCTACTGTGGGGAGCTCCGGAAGTGGATCCATGTAGTGAACGCACTGCCAAGTCCTAGAAAAGCTCACAAAAGTGAACGTGTCTCTTTTCACTTCCATGTCTTCCCCTCCTGTCAAAACAGTGAGGGACTTCATGAGAGAGAGCTGTGGACAAACCAGCTACAAACTCCAGGATTTGTTCATCAGCTCTCTGTCTGCCAGCTCAGGCTTTGCAGCAGGGAGGGCCAGGCTGTGGCAGTGCTGGCCCCCAGAGCAGATTTTCCCCAAGAGCGTACAACACCATCTCTCACTGCCCGGTTAGCCTGGGTTAACAGGCTCTGGAGACCCACCTTATCTTGACCCCTCAAGTGTTCACATTACAGATGAGAGCCAGCATGCCTGGATTTTAGGTGTTAGGGATCTGACTTTCAGGCTTGTATGGCAGGCACTCTGACGACAGAGCCATCGTCATCTTCTCAGAATTAGAGGCTAATTTAAGAGCCAGCACTTCAAACAGGGGCTGCATATCCAGTTTATCCCTAGGACTCAGATATGTAGTAGCATGTCTAAAGCTCACGACAGTTTTGACACAGAGTCAGCTAAGGTCTCTTCAGTTAATTTTAGAACAAAGAGACCATCTCTAACTGACCTGACACATTGATAAACTAGAAAGAGGGAAAACGAACATGAAAAACGAAGAGAAATTTCTGTTTTGAAAAGACGACAGTCCAAACTACTACCACGTATCATCTTAATTGGGAAGGAAAATCCTGAGTCCCGTGTGTCAGGAAAACATGCAGGATACAACGGGGCTCCGTTATAGCTAACTGAGTTGAAATGACCTGTGCAATAATTAGGACCCACTCCTTACTTCGTTATACAAGACACTGAGTTTGTCCCTTTCCGCCGTGAGCAGCTTCACATTGCACTGAATATCCTCCATGTATTTTTCAAATCTCTCTAGCATGCGCTGGAGCTCATCTCGTTCTCTTGAGATCAGATGAATGTCTGAGCTGTGATCGCCCTGAAACAATTACACAGATCCACATTACCATTTGTTATAATTACAACCGCGCGGCTGTCACAGAGACGCTGGTGACGAGGCTGGCTGCAGCAGGCTCACAGACAGAACAGAAGTTCTTTCCATGTAATTAAAGGATAAATTCCGGAGAGCAGATGAAAGCACTGGCAGAAATGGTGCAAACTCCCTGGCTTTGGGTTCTCAGGAAGGTGCACGGCTGCCAATAACACCACCTGTGCAGATCTCATCAGAGGCTTCCACAGGTCCCCCCCCCCCCCAGCTGCTCCTAGTGCACATCAGTGACACCTAACTATAACCTCTAGACCAGGAGATCGGCAGCACCTAGAAGCTTGGTGTGCACATCAAGTGGAGGGCCCATGCTGGGCTCCTTGGGAGGAGAGCATAGGACATTTTGTCAGGTCTTCCAGTCATTCTGATGCATGCTAAGTGCTCAGAGTCACTTCTTTATAACTCTCCCAAGAGTCCAGGGAGGTATGTGTGTCCTGTCTTCTATGAATGACCATTATGGCTGGCATCTCAGGTAAAATAGCCCCAACTGTCGTCCCAGCTTCATACCCACACAAGGTCCATCTGTGCAATGGTACAAGTCAGTATCTATTGAGATGTGAACTGACTAACCAAAATTTCTTCCAACAATCCACTGATTTCCAACATTTCTAAGAATATATCTGCTATCATAGCATAATTCAAAAATCATGACTGCCATGAGGATGGTAAATTTACAGCGTGTCAATGACCTAAATATAGAAACCCAGATAAACTGCTATAGTAATGTGGCAGCTGAAATGATAAGAGCCCCTATAGGCTCATGTTTGAATACTTAGTTCTAAGTTGCTGGAACTGTTAAGAAAGGATTGGGAGGTGTGACCTTGATGGAAGAGGTGTCTCTGGGGGCAGGATTTAGGATTGGTAGGTGTAGCCTTGATGGAAGAGGTATCACTGGGGGCAGGATTTAGGATTGGTAGGTGTAGCCTTGATGGAAGAGGTATCACTGGGGGCAGGATTTAGGATTGGGAGGTGTGACCTTGACTGAAGAGGTGTCACTGGGGGCAGGATTTGAAGCTTCAAAAGATTCCCTTTCCCAGTATGCTTTCTGCTTCCTGCCTGTGGATCCCAATGTGAACTCTCAGCTGTTCCTGCCACTCCCTTGTTCCACTTCCATGGTGTGGATCCCTCTGAAGCCATAAGCCTAGTTTACACTTTCGTTTACAAGTTGCCTGGGTCCTAGTATTTTGTCACAGCAAGAGTAAAGTAATACAACTGGACAGATATCCACTGAGCACAGACAACACCCGTGAAGATTCAGTACATGGTGGAAACGTGTGAGGCAGCTTCCACATAGGAACAAGCACAACTAAAGTGTGATGGACATAGCTGGATATCGCGCTGCATTAAAGGGCAAAGCTGTTTTACACAGCAGCTGAAAAACACAGAGGAAAACCTGCGACCTAACATCTTACAGAATGTAGTCTGCACACCCTGGAAACGGAGTGCAATGAATAAAGACCCACAACTGTTTTCATTACTGACTTAAATGTCACTTTCTACAAGGACTCCTTCCAGATTCTCCACATAACTCAGATGTATGTTCTGAATTGCTCTGGACAGTCTTCATCAACACTTAATATAAATGAGATAGTAAAGTTACTTAGCAGCCAGGGATGTAGCTCAATGGCAGATATACCCCTAAATTTACATACTATAAAGGGGTATGATGTAAATTTTTACATTAATGTACTTACTAGATTGAATTTCTGTCAGAGACACAGGGCTCCTGTTCCTGTGATTTTGTGTTCAGTACCTGGTATGACACCTGGCTTTACTGCTTGAGGAAGAATGCTAAACTTTTCTGCAAATGTATCTTGTGTGTAATATTTACATTAGTATTATGCAGTGTATGTTAACACCCTTTCTCCACTCTATTATTCTCAACACATTAATAAGCAACAAGCACAGTGCTGAAGATACAATATCAAGAATCCCTTTTCTTCTTACTTTGAGATGGGGTCTCACTATATAACCTTAGCTGCCCTGGAACTTGCTTTGTACCCAGGCTGGCCTTGAATTTATACCAACCCTCTTGCTTCTCCCACAGTACTGAGATTACAGATGTATGTCACCACAAGGAGGGTGTGTGTTTCAGACATAGTCTTTTTTTTTTTTTTTTTTTTTTTTTTTTTTTACCGGAACTGTTCTATTGACTTTTCTCAGAATCATCATTTGAGATCAGTGTCTTTGTCGACTAACATAAAATATATTTCTGATACTGATTTATTTAGGAACTATCATCATTATCTCTACAGTCCATGCCTCATTCATCGAAGACATTATACACCTACTGAACTTAATCATACAGATCAGAGCCACTTTAAACCAGCAAGCAATAGAGAAACAAACTGTTTCCTAGTTGGGAACTAGATACTATGCTAGAAGACCTGTATGTCGATGACCTCATTCAATCTTTCTAAGCAGATGGAGTTATGTTTCTGTATCTGCACACGAGGAATCAGGGCTGCATGAAGTCAGCTTCTCCAAGGTCTATCATCAGCTGGCACAAGAAGCTGAAACTTGCATCAGGCTTCCTGCTCCAAAGCCTTCCTCGGGCTGTCCTCAGACTCAGATTGGGAGCCACAGTGAGTGTAAGGTTAAAGGAGAAATGCTCCCATTGAAGATAAGACAAGAGAAGCTCAATGAGGTTGGATAATAAAGATCACTGATATGGAAAATGCCTAAATTTTCCCGATTTATTGTAATTCCAAGAATCTGTGCTTAACAGTTTACCATAAAGCAGGAAGCTGACAGCCACAGCACCAGATCCAGATTGAGAGAGCCCTTGGCTGTCTGCTAACCAAGTGCTTCTACACATGCTTACAATATCTCCTTTTAGGTGTGAAATGCACCCCAGGTCTCCACACTCACAACTGTCTCACACACTCACTTTACTCAGTACTGGCGCTGAGAACAGTCACTGAAAGGGATGATGCTCTAACTCTGGTGTAGGAGGGTCTTCTTTCTATGTGTTGCTTTCATTGGTTGAATAAAGAAAACTGCCTTGGCCTTTTGATAGGGCAGCCCTTAGATGGGCGTGGTAGACAGAACAGAATTCTGGGAGGAAGAAGGCAGCGTGGCAGATGCCATGCTTCTCCTGCCCAAGACGGACGTTGGTTAGACTCATGCAGGTAAGCCACGACCTCGTGGTAACACACAGATTAATAGAAATGGGTTAATCAAGATGTGAGAGTTAGCCAGTAAGAGGCTAGAGCTAATGGGCCAGGCATTTAAATGAATACAGTTTCTGTATAATTATTTCGGGTGAAAGCTAGCCGGGAGGCAGGCCTGCTCCTCCCTACAACATAAGTCTACCACCAAAGCTGGGAAGGACATAAAAGTTGAGTGTCATGAGGACAGAGCTACTCTGTTAGCAGAGGGAAAGTGCAGCTGTCACACAACATAAATCCTGGAAAGAGCAGAAACGAACAGTATTTTGAGTCTGAGTTCTGGCTTCTGAAAGCCTACAAAGCCTCTCACATGACTCTGCTACTCAACCTAAATTTATAGAAATCAAAATGTTGTCCTTTATTGTTGGATAGTTTCTCTAATAATGCAGGATTCCTCTTACATTGCAAGTTATTGTAAAAACAAAAATCAAGATTAAGACTTTTAAAATTATGTATAAATAATGTTGCATTTATTACAGCAATAAAGCAAAAAGGTTTATCACACACACACATGCGCACACATATCCCCCTTTGATTACTCTTATAAAAGGTATTACCTTTTCTGAGCATTTGAATATCGAGGTCTTTTCCCGGGCAGAGTAATTTACAGAACAAGTTCTCCGCTGGATGATATGCTGGAGTTTTTCCAGTTCTTTCTTGTAATAGTCTCGCTCCTCCTCTATGCCTCTCAGGAATGTATCTAAACGAGAGGGTGACTTGTCTCGACGTTTTATCCCATGTTCTAGCCTCATCCTCTCAACTTCCAAAGTCAGTTCTCTTTCTGCAAATTAAAGTAGTTAAGATATTGTTGTGTATATAATGTGGATTAGTCAAATAAATAAACAAAAAACTACTAGCAATCCTGAACTGTTCTGTGTCAACCACAAAGATCAGACATATCGAATAGAGAGAATGAGAAGAAAACAAAAGCCAAACATCAACAATAAATAATGTCCAACAAGTGAAGGCCACCCTCTGCTGATGTTATCACAGCTGGATACCATCTAGCACTGTGAAAGAAGAGTGACGCTTCCCAGAGACCCTCAAGGAGCACTGAGGAAAGCAGTCAACAACCCTACAGGCTCACACCTCACTGAGCTTGGGTTTAACACATGCACAAAGAAACCAAAACAACTCATTTTTTTCCAAGAAGCACAATGATTACTTTTCTGCTGCTATTTTTGAGATAGCATGTATAGACTGACTCAAACTCCTGGGCTCAAAACGCCCTTGTGCCCGTAAAATGTCTGGGACTGTAGGAATATATCACCACAAACAATCCAACTCACAATGACTAGTTTTTATCAGTAAAAGTTACTTTTCCATGATCTAAAACAAAGCAAATACTAGCAACTTCACAGAGTTCAGCCTGTGGAACTACACTCCCGACACTGACTAGAGTCGTTTCCATGATGGATTCGATGCTGCCATCTTCCCCTTCATTCATTCAGGTGATGCACAATTAACTAAACACAACTGACTAATCCACGACACTAGAAAACTCATGAACTGGCCATTTTATCCCATGAAGGAATGACCAGTGAGGTCAGAAGAGAGTAGGAAAGTGAGAAGGAATGAGCAACTGTGGTAAATGTTAAAAAGGAATAAATGGCTTCATGCAGGGCAGTTCTGCTGGTGAGGTGGAGACAGAGGCCGTCTGGAATGGGGTGAGGAGCTAGAGTAGTGAGGGATCAGACAGAGGCCAAGTGCGGATTTTGAGTCAATATAACAGTGTTCTTTAAAAAGACTGCACTGCAATGTCTGCCATTTCAGAATGGTTTTAGTCTGCCTCAAAGAAGCACACACTTCCACTGCGAAACATTCCAACAGCCTCTCCTGCGCCAACCAGTCAGAATTCAGGGAGGGCTTTCTATCGTGTCCACCCTGCCCAGCATCACTTCTGGTTCACAGCAAGGGCTTGGCACTGTTATTAAACAAACGCAGGAAGGATCATCTACTAGTACAACATACAGAGGGCAAAGTCACTTTTTATCTTACATTTGGCATCTTACCTGTGACTGCAAAACTTTCCATTTTTTTGCTAAGTCTGTTCTTTTCTTGTTCAAGCTGATGAACAACAGTTTCCAGGTCTGACTTCAGAAGGAGCTCATCATTTAGCCTCTCCTTTTCCTTGTGGCATAAGTCTAATTCCTGCAAAATGGTAATTCTATAATTATGTATCCTAATAACTTTACTAAATATTTCTAATACTTATAGGCAAAATGGATACTTTTGTAGCATATGTATATATATATATACACATATAAAATAGCAATTCATATGTGTGTGTGTATGTGTGTGTATGAACCTGCACTACTTTAATCACTTCAATTGGGACAAAATGCACCACCCACGAAAGAACAGAACCCAGTCTGCATACTGGGCTGGGACTACAATCACTGCCACGCTGAACTCTCATCAGAGAAGTTTCCTCTCACGGTATATGGGAACTAACACCGAGAACCATGATTGGATGATGTACAGAGTGAGAGACATTGCCACTCAGTTTGAAATGGGGTGTCTTTATCAAGCCCCCGCCCCCAAGATCAGTGTGGAAGGCTCTGTGTGGAAGAGGATCGGAAAGCTGGTGAGTCAGCGATGTGGATAACCACAAGGAAACAGTGTCTTCTGCACACAAGACAACTGATGCACAAAGGGACTCAGAGACTGCGGCAGCACACATGGCCTGCTCAGGGTTCATGGCTAGATGTGGGCCCAGCAGAGAAGGGAAAATGGACACAGTCTCCCACCCCTAATGAAGAACCTATCTGCAATTGATACCTGCTGGGAAAGGGAAAGTCAGTATTGTCCAATGGAGTGCCACTTTGTATATTAACCGTACTCCAAGGCAGGCCCCATGCCCAGCTGGCCAGACAAAATGGACGCCATGGTTTTCGTGTGCATTTTTTGTTTTTGTTTTGGTAATTTTTTTGATCTTACCAGTAGGGTTTTCATTTGTTTTGACATTTGTTTTTGTTTTGGAGGAAGGGAGAGACTGAGAAAGAGAGATAAGAAAGTTGGGTAGAGGAGGAGAATTTGGGAGAAGTGAGAGGAGAAAAAGTATGATCAAAATAAACTGCATGTAAAAAAATTAAAAGCAAAACACACAAACACACACCAAACACACTACGAAGCCCATGCTAACAATGCTCTTTTGTGGACGGTAGAACCCTTATGTTTTATTCGCTGCTCATTTGTTTAGCATATCGTCCCACTTCTCTCTGGCTGAGTACGTCTGTGCACAACACAACTTATTAATGCCTATGTTTAAAGAGCACAGCAGTGCAGACCAGTGACAAAGTCACTGCTTCTGCCATGGCAAATGCGTAGTGAACATCAGCAATCAGTTATTAGCTCTGGGTCTGAAAAAGCCTGGGATAAAACCGGTCTCGCTGAACATAGCGGACAATGAGGACTACTGAGAACTCAAGAACAACGGCAATGGGTTTTTGATCCTACTACACGTACTGGCTTTGTGGGAGCCTAGGCAGTTTGGATGCTCACCTTACTAGACCTGTACCCCATTTTTAATTGGATTATTTAGTTTGATGATGTCTAGTTTCTTGAGTTCTTTATATATTTTTGGATATTAGCCTTGTGTCATATGTAGAGTTCATAAAACCCTTTGCTCACTGTGCAAGCTGCCATTTTGTCCTGTTGACAGCATCCTTTGCCTTACAGAAGCTTTTCAATTTCATGAGGTCCCATTTATAAACTGTTGACCTTAATGCCTGTGTTACTGGTGTTCTGTTCAGGAAGTAGTCTCCCATGTAAATGTGTTCCAAGCTATTTCCCACCTTCTCATCTAGCAGGTTCAGTATATCTGGGTTTATGTTGGAGTCTTTGATCCATTGGACTTTCGTTTCTTCCAGGGTGATAGAGACATATTTGCATTCTTCTACAGGCTGATATCCAATTAAACCAGCACCATTTGTTGAAGATATTTTCTTTTTTTTTTTCATTGTATATTTCTGGTGTCTTTATCAAAAATAAACGGTTCATAGGTGTGTGGATTTGTGTCTGGGGCTTTGGGTTGGTTCCATTGTTCCACCTGTCTGTTTTTATGCCAATACCATGAGGTTTTTTATTACTGTAGCTTTGCAATACAGCTTGAAATCAGGGATGGTGATGCCTTCAGAAGTTCTTTTATTGTACAGAATACTTTTAGTTCAGCTATTGTGAAGAGTGTTGCTTTTCTGATTTCTTTTTCAGCCCATTTGTCATATGTTTATAGGAGGACTACTGGTACCTTTTTAAAGATAATCTTGTATCCAGCCACACTGCTAAAGATGTTTATCAGCTGTAGGGTAGGAGTTCCCTGGTGGAATTAGTGGGTTTGCTTATGCATACTGTCATATCATCTGTGAATAAAGGTACTTTGACTTCTTCTTTTCCAATTTTTGTACTCATGATCTTCTTTTGTTGTCTTATTGCTTAGCTAGAACTTCAAATACTACATTGAATAGATACTGAGAGGGTGACTAGCCTTGTCTTGTTCCTGATATTAGTGAATTTTTTTTTGAGTTTCTCTTCATTTAATTTGATGTTAGCTATAGGTTTGTTGTAAATTGCCTTTGTTATGCTTAGGTATGTTCCTTGTATCTCTGATTTCTCCAAGACTTTTGTCATGAATGAGTGTTGGGTTTTGTCAAAGGTGTTTTCAGCATCTAATGAGATGATCATTTGGTTTTTTCTTTCAGTTTGTTTATATAGTATATTACATTGACATATTTTTTTTTTGTATGTTAAACCATCCCTGCATCTCTGGGATGAAGCCTACTTGGTCATATTGGATGTTTATTTTTTTTTGATGTGCTCTTGGATTTGGTTTACCAGTATTTTATTGAGTATATGTTTGATCAATGTTCATAAGAAAAGTTGGTCTGTAATTCAGTTTCTTTGTTTAGTCTTTGTGTGGTTTAGGTATCAGAGTGACCGTGTCCCCATAAAATGAATTTGGCAATTTTCCTTCTGTTTCTATATTTTGAAATAATTGAGGAGTAATGGTATTGGCTCTTCTTTGAATGTTTGATAGAATGCACCACTAAAACTGCCTGGCCCTTTGCTGTTTTTGGTTCAGAGACTTTCAATGACTATTTCTATTTCCTTAGCGGTTTTAAGTCTATTTAAGTAGTTTATCTGATCTTTATTTAACTATGGTATATAGTAACTATCAAGAAAATTATTCATTTCTTTTAGATTTTCTAATTATGTGGAGTACAGGATTTTGGACTATAATCTAATGATTCTGCAGATTTACTTGGTATCTTTTTTATGTCTCTCTTTTCATTTCTGATTCTGCTAATTTACATATACTCTCTGTCTTTTAGTTAGTTTGGATAAGGATTTTTCTATCGTGTTGATTTTCTCAAAGAATCAACTCTTTGTTTCATTGATTCTTTGTATTGTTATCTTTGGTTCTATTTAATTGATTTCAACCTTCAATTTGATTATTTTCTGCCACTGGTTCCTTTTAGGTATGTTTGTTTCTTTTTGTTCTAGAACTTTCAGGTCTACTGTTAAGTTGCTAGTGTGAGATCTGTCCAATTTCTTTATAAAGGTACTTAGTGCTATCAGTTTTCCTGTTAGCATTGATTTCATGGCATCCCATAAGGTTTTGTATGTTGTGCATTCATTTTCATTGAATTCTAGAAAGTCTTCAGTTTCTTACTTTCTGTCTTGACACAGTATTCATTCAGTAATAGTTGTTCAGCTGCCATGAATATGTGGACCTTCTGTTGGTTCTGTTGTTGAAATCCAGTTTTAATCCATGGTGTCTGATAGGATGCAAGGGGTTCTTTCAATTTTGTTCTATCAGTTGAGAATAGCTTTGTGACTGAGTATGTGTTCAATTTCAGAGAATGCTCTGTGAGGTGCTGAGAAGGAAATGTATTGTGTGTGTGTGTGTGTGTTTCCCTTATTATTATTTTATTTCCTATTGTGAAATTATTTATTGCTTGTATTTCCATGAATGTAGTTAATCTTGGGTTTGATTATTCCTTTTAGCACTTCTGTAGGCCTGGATTTATGGATAGATCATGTTTAAATTTGACTTTATCAAGAATATCTTGTTCTATCCATGGTGATTAAAAATTTTGCTCCCAAGATATTAATCAGTATGGCTATAGGATAGGGTCATTTCAGGTTCTCTGTCCTCAGCTGCCCCAGGAACTAACTGGGGACATCGCCCTGGGCACCTGGGAGCACCAAATCTCTTGCCAACCCTAAGATNAGGGCAGGGAACCCTGATTGCTCTTTGGGCTGACGAGGGAGGGGGACTTGATTGGGGGAGGCGGAGGGAAAGGGGAAGCGGCGGTGGGGAAGAGACAGAAATCTTTAATAAATAAATAAATAAATGAAAAAAAAAATACATAACAGAAATAGACCATGGATCTGAGACAAGCACCGCCGACCGCCCTCAGCACTCAGTCTGCAGACAATAGTGAACTGCAATAAACCCTCTTGCACACACATGTATGTGTGAGTTCTCTTCTCTCATTCTCCCTTTCCAAATGCCTTTAGCATACTGCTTCAAAGACGTATAGAGTGAAATTTCTTGTTTATAACATTCACCTCTTATAAGTCCTGCTGTTACTTAAAATGCAGCCAGTGAGTCCAAATGACTCTTCCCTGAAAGTCCCACTGTCCATCATGAAGCCACTATCGTGCTGTTCAAACATTCACACATAGTGAATACAGGCCACCATCTCATAGAAACAGCATGTCCCCAGAAAACAGCACTGTAGACTATACATAATGAAGAGATGCAAGGTTCTGTTGGTCTTTGCTTTTAATCATACAGGGAGCCCTTCCAACATAGCAGGTTATCACAAGGAAGACAGCCTTCTACCTCTGAGTGACGGCCAGTTTAACCTGTAAGGCATTCTCCTAATTCCACACTGGGCCCCTATATCGAGGAGTCTCTTTGGATAAAGCCTGTCTTTCTCCACCAAAAGCCATAGGGACAAGCATTGTGCCTAGAAAAATAGCTTGAATTACATCAAACAAAGCAATTAAAAGGAGAATGACTACTTCTAATAGCAACAAGTAAACACCAGTTCTTGATCTTACTATCACTAGGAAACTGCTAAGATAAAGTAGTTAGAGGAATACAGAATTCCTGCCAGGGCCTCATATTCAGTGTTATCTATAAACCCATGTTATGAAAGATTAGAGAGTGTTAAAACTATAAAACTGCATAAGCGCAGTGTAGAACATTCATCATTTGGCTACAGAAAGGAACGGAATTCCCATTCATGCTATGACCTCACAAACCTTGCAAACACGCTAAGAAGCCTGATGCAAAAGGCCACACAATACATGATTCATTTCTACAAACTGTCAGAATGAGAACTCTAGAACCTGAAGGTAGGTGAGTGGCTGTCAGGGGCTAAACAGAAGGTAATGGGGTGACTACTGATAGGTATAAGGTTTCTTTCCAAAATGATGATGTTCTGGAATTAGCAGTGATGGTCCTACAATTCTGTGACCATGCCAAAATCACACAGTCCACTAAAAAGACTGAATATTAACCATATACATTGTTTCACAAGAGACTTATAAAATCTGGGCATTAATTCCATGCTCAAAACACTGACGATAGTATGACATCAACTTACCAGTTGAAGTTTTGCCATTTTTTCCTCAAGGTTCCGCATTTCACAGAGGTTTCTTTTAATCTCTTTCTAGGAATAAAAAGTCTATTAGGTGAGCATTACTATGGCATAAGGACTAAGACCAGCTGGTACGCACTCTCTGTCAGTAAAGTCTAGGACCCTAGTCCAGTGACTAGAGGGTGAAGCTGAGACGAAGGCTCTGTTTAACACTGTGCCCATGAAAGCCTGTGTGGACTGGCTTGTCAAGTAGAGAAGCACGTCGAGTTCCCTGTCTCGGGCCTCAGCTCTGGGGAATGCAGGTGCTCACTTCCTAACCAGCCTCTTCATGTTCCCAGCTGCTTAACCTGGATCTCTTGCACCACAACTGAGAGCAGAAACCACTGAAAGACTGATCCAACGGCATCTTTTGTTGCATCAAGTGGACATCTGTGGGCCTTGTCAACGGGCCATGAGGAGTCACATTCAATGCCACGCATGTGGAAGCACAGAATGTACAGAAAGGAGTGGAACAAGGGAGGAAAGACACCGAGGATACTAATGCACTAAAACCAGAAACGCGGAGTCACAACTATACGAATTAGTTACCCCCCCCCACCTCTCCCCAGATCTGAAGAACAAGCCCAGGGCCTCGTGCATGTGGGCAAGCACTCTGCAAACTGGGCTACGTCCCCAATCTACATCTTCGTCCCAGACTGTTTGGCTATGCATTCTCTTGAGAGTCCATATACACTTCCAGACTATTTTCTACTTTAGAAAAACTGGCACTGCAGCCTGATCGGACCTGAGCTGACTTCAGAGACTGTGTGGTTTTACAAACTATGAATGCACACAGGATGCCCTTCCACTTCCACACCCTTTAATTTTCATGAATGTTCTAGTATGTCTAAAGTTTTCACCTAACTGGTTAAGTTCATTCTTGCTGATGCAGCTGCAAATGGATTAATTAATTTCTTTGTTTGATTTTCTTTATTCTTAGTATACAAAATTGTATGTGATTTGTGGGGGGGGGGTGTAAGATTCAATTTGTTAAACTTATTTATCCTATCTCATTGTGTTAAAATCTTTGAATTTTCCACAATTAAGGTCATATAACATATGAACAAAAATTTTTACTATTTCTTTGAAAAGTGTATGCCCTTTACTTTATTCTGTTTTATTTATTTATTTGTTGAATTGCTGAGAAGGCCTCACAGTACTGTTTTAGTTTTAGATATGGTTTCACAGTGTATGGCAAGCTAGCCTAGAACACACAGTCTTCCTGCTTCAGTCTCTCTGCAAATGCTGGGATTTCTAGGCAGTCACCACTTCTGACTCAGTACTATGATAACCAGAAATAACAAAAGTATCCTGGAGTTGTTCCTGATTCCAGAGTAAAAGATTTTAGTCTTTCAGCACTGAGTATGTTTCCTGTGGGCATCTTATTAATTGTAAGAGAGGAATATTACAAAATAATTCACCCTGTGCATCTTTTCAGTGGAAAGACGACGAGATAGCTACCACTATAAAATCTGCAAGGAAAATGTTTTAATAATACCTTTAGGGGCTGGGAAGATGGCTCAGTGGTGAACGCACAGCAGCACAGGCTTAATGACCAGAGTGCAGCTCCCAAGTACCCATATGGAAGTTGGGCAGGTTTGGCAACAACTCTAATCCCAGCACTAAGGAGGCCGAGCTGGGATCCCTAGGGCAAGCTCACAAGCTAGACAAAGCTGAAACAGTAAGCTCTGAGGTCAGAGGCAGACCCTGCCCAGATAAATAAAGGAAGAGTGACTGGGGCAGATAGCCAACGTCAGCTTCAGGCCTCCACACACATGCTCACAGATGTGCATGTTCACCAATGCATATATGTATGCCTACACATGTGAACAAACACACACAAGCATGTACATGATATAAACACATACCCACATGCAATATAATCTTTCAAGGGTTATTGAGCTAAATCTGACAAGAGGACAGACTTCAGAGATAAAATGACAGGGATGGAAGCCACAGAGGACATCAAGGCGGTGTGTAGACCTTTACTCTAGAGCAGGTGTGTTTCAGGAAAACTAAACCAACTACAGCAAAGGCCATCTTCTAACGGGTGAGAAGAGAGCTTAAGAAAACCCTGAGTTATTAAAGGTAGAAACATGTCTGCAGCGAGCAAGCCTCGAAGCTGAGCATGGCCATCCCGAGCTCAGCTCACTGTGCTCAGGGCTAGTGAGACCCACAGCACGGGGCCAGCATCACCTTTGCCTCCCCGAGCTCCTTGTCGGCAGTCTCCAGCACTTCCTCCTTGTGTCTTTCTAGCTGCTGCGCTAGCTGGTCAATTTCCGTTAGCTCCTGGCAGAGCTTTTCGTTCTTGTTACTGAGGTTCACAACTTCACTTGTCACTGTTTCCTTGGTTTCCACCAGCTCTTGAATATGCTTCTCCAGCTCTTTATTAGCTTGTTGAAGGAAGTCAACCTGAATCCAATTTACAATCACGTGATAAAGTTTCAAACTAAAAGTTCTAAACAACTGCATTTTAAAAGATGCTGAAGTTAAATGAAGCTATTTTTGTATGTGTAACCCTAAATACTATTTATTTTGCCAAACTGACAATATGTACCTCAGTGAAAATACATGTCCACTGGCTTTTATTTTTCAAATACAGAAGGAAAGGATAAGAAATTTGTGTGAACTTGTTCCCAAAAGAGCCATAAAAATACGACAAGGCTGTTATAATGGCATTAGCTTGTGCTGTCCAATACAGTAGCTATTAGCATCTAGATGTAGCCGCCAAGCACTTTTAAACATGGCGACTCTAAACTAAGATGTGCTATAAATGTAAACGGCATGAAACTTCAAAGTTCTGGGGTTTTTTTTTTTTTTTTTGGTTTTTGTTGTTTTAGGAAAGTAAAACTATCACATGCTGAAATGAAGTTTGGGATATACTGGGATAAATACATTATTTGCAATTATACTGCATCCCATCTGTCTGGACTCATGTTTTTATTGGACAGTGTATTTGAATGTTGCCTCCACTGTCTCTGAGCAAACTCCACCTATTACATACAGACAGACCCCCCAGCCCCACCCTGTATCTAAACTTCTAAGCTCCCATGTCACACCTTATAGGGCTCTTCTGCTTCTTCATCTCAGGTTGAAGCCTGGTGCAAGCAGACATAAGCTGCATGTTTTATCTATGTTACTACTTCTTGGCAGTGGTGAGGTTGGACTTGAGACTTGTGTGTTACACAAGCTTTTACTACCAAGCTACACTATCACATTAACAGTCAATAATATATTACATGTGGATATATGCTGTATAATATGTATCTAATGAACAAAGTGGATAATATTGTGCATCATACAACATATATCATAGACAGTACATATAATCTATAACTTATAGCATATATAAGCATATATCTAGCTTAAAATTATCAGTTTTTAAAAATACAGGGTCACCAAGAATTCCCCAAGACACAAAGATAAACTTTGTTAGTATATTTTAAAATATACTAAAACAAAACATTCTGATTTTCTCTATATATTTATATATTTTGTTGCTTTGTTCTTTTGAGATAGGATCTCATGTAACCCACGAGAGTCTAGAATTTACTATGAGGCTGAGACTGGCCATAAACCAATCTTCCTGCCTCTCTCCCTCCCAAGTACAAGATTTACAGGAATGTGTCACCACACATCACTCATTCATGGGTTTTTAAAGAGCAAACTGAAGGCACTGCCCAGAGACTATGGTCTTCTTTTATGTTTGTAACACTAGACCCATCTTACTTGCTGCTCATTAGGGATTCTGGTCTCTCAAAGCTATTCCTCATTTCTCTGCTCTGTCAGAAACTCCCCAGAGTCCTGTATGGTGGCGCACGCCTTTAATCCCAGAACTGGAGAGGCAGAGGCAGACGGATCTCTGTGAGTTCAGGGCCAGCCTGGTCTACATAGAGGGTTTTAGTCAGCCGAGGTTATATAGTAAGGCCCTGTCTCAAAAAGAATAAAACAAACAAAAACTCCCTTATAAATAATAAAAACTCCCCTATAAATAAATAATATAAACTCCCTTATAAAAAATACTTCAGTGAACAAGCCTGCTACTTTTATCAACCCACAGGTCATTTTAAGAACCTCAGATTTTTACAGACTCAAGGAAGCAGCCCTGAGAGCCATTACCTGGACATTTAAGTGAGCGATAAGCTTTTCATTGGTTTTATTTCTAGTCTCCAGAGACAGGATATCAGGGGAACGGCCGCCATCCAAAGCAAGTGATAGTCGTTCTATTTCTCGTTCTCTTAGCTCAATCTGAGGATATAAAGTTGATAAAATTGGGTGTGAAGCAAATCCTGAACCCGGAACTTTCGTTTAGATATGATCTTTCCTTATGTACCAACAATGCACACAAGCAGCTACCGTTTATACTGGAGTCCACACGTGTGAAAACACAGAATATACCAGAGCTATAGGATCAGCACAGATAGTTCTCATCAGTGCTCTTATGGAGCTGATCCTAATTAAATTTTGAGGTTTTTTTCTCTCCTCTAAAATTGTTTATAAGAACAGAAATGTCTTGGCAGATTATACACATGTTCAAGCACTGGAATAATGCTGACATACTTCAGCGCTTGCTAGAATGGATGAATGTTGGAATGAATGGAAAATATTAAGAACTGAGTTGCTATCAAGTTCAGTATCAAAAAAGATAGGAAACTAGGGTGAATTTAATTAATAAATTGATACCAATTCACATGCAAGAATTGGAAAAATGCACACACACAGACACACACATACTTTGTTTTCCCCCAATTCAGAAAAAAAAATGAAGATTCAATTCAATAATTACTGAACACACTGATGGATGGACTTCGAAATCCAGGAACAGAAAACATAACAGGGAGTACTACCAAGCACCCCAACAGTTGCAGCACAACAGGTCTTCAACAGAAGAGTAAAGGAAATGGTATCTTACGGAACCAGTACTTAAAGGGATGAAGTGGCCCACTCTGCAGTCTATGTTTGTACCTATAATATCACCAAAGACCTTGCTAAATTTAGCAGGATGTCCATAAAGGCTATAGCAATGCTGTATCACAAAAAGGGGTACTCCAGGCAGCCACACTCATACACAAAATCATGGGAAATATTAGAGGCAGCAGAAATGACTCAGCATGACTGGACTGGGGAGAAGCATGAAGAATTGAGCATTGAACAAACACAACCCTGATGTGGAATATTTGTACACTATGTAAAGATATATTGCAATGATTGGTGCAACAAAGAGCTGAATGGTCAATAGCTAGGCAGGGGAGGAGACAGGATTTCTGGGGAGAGAGAGAAAGAAAAAGAGGAATCTAGGTATGTAGATTAAACCAGAAGGCACTGAAGAAGTCAGACATACAGCAGAGAGTAGAGGCAACTGGGCCACATGGAAGAACACAGATTAATAAAAACAGGTTAATTTAAGTTATAAGAGCTAGTGGGACAAGCCTAAGCTAATGGCCAAACTTTACACATAAGGCCTGAGAAAGCTTCCTGGCAACAGGCCTCCTAGGTAGGCTCAGCGTACAGAGGCGTGGCTCTTTCAAGAAGCCCTGCTGCACAGCTGAACACATGAGCAGTTGGCACTGGGTACAAATGCCTGCTGCAGGCGGACATAATAAATTCCAAGAGCTGGGGAAGATAAATGCGGCTCCAGAGCCTGTACCATTTGGCATGAGACTAGGCTCTCTGGGAACTGAGGGTGACAGAGCCAGCTGCCAGTGTGCCATGTGCTAAGCTGGCCCATGCAGCAGTAGCCTAGCAGGTTAAGATCTGGCTCATGTGGTCACAGGAGGCTGCAGATGTGCAAAAAGTCATGTCCAGACCAAGAAAAACTCTGAATAGGCAACAGTGTGCTTAAAAATGTGCTTAGATGCTGAAGAAAAAAAAAGAAAAAGGGTATAAACAGTCATAGAAAAGTAGTTTAAAAATAATAGTCTTTAAAGATAAAGTGACAAAGGAAAAAGCCACATAAAGATGGAAAATACACAGAGTGTCTAGATCCTATATGGTGTTTTGTTGACTCTGAATTGTTTAAATGTTAATGAACAAAAAGCAATAGCTATTGAGAGACACTGGATTATGGAAACTGCTAAGTTAAGCCAGTCTATATATTTCTAGAAAGTCTTAACTTCAGAATGGAAGTCAGAAAATATGTTGTGTTGGGGGAGAGGCTATGCCTTTGTTTTCGCAATAAACAAAAAGCTACGGATTTCTTCAAAATTAATAAAGACCAGATTTGATTGGGGGAAACCTCCTAAAAATCTTGGCTATAGACATAAAGGAAGAAACAAACAAACAATCAAAACTCTGCAGGACAGGTGACATATATGCTGATCCCTTTACTATGGGGACAGCTCTAAGACTAGATGAGACAGGAAAACGTGGCTATAAACTGAAAAAAACATAACCACATTCAATTTGTGCTCCCCTCCCCATTTTATGCTATGCTAAGAATTGAATCCGGTGCCTAATGCTAGGTAAGCTTTTTACCCCCAAGTCACAGCCCAGTGTGATGAGTGCAGTGGCTCTCAGCCTTCCTACTGTTGCCCCTTACAACTCGTCATGTTGTGGTGACCCCAACCATAACATTCCTTTCGCTGCTACTTCACAACTGTAATTTTACTACTGCTATGGATCATAATGTAAGTATCCGATGTACATGATATTTGATAACATGACCCCTGTGAGAGTGTCATTTGGCCCCAAAGAAGTTATGACCCACAGGCTGAGAACCAATGTTTTTAGTGCCTTCATAAAGGAGTTTGTTTGACTCCTTTATGTTTGTTTGTGGGGGGTTTTGGTTTGAGAATATTAGAACTTTCTTTAACTCCTTTCCAATCCAAATAATTTTCAAAGTACTTTACAAACTAAGAGTTATACCAGCATACTGGTACATATAGAGTTGTATGTACAGATCATGCAAATAACCATGTACATGAAAAAACATTACTCAGTTTAAACTTCGGTAAGCACAGGACATAAACTATGCTGTTTAGCCCAGAGACCAAGACAGAGAGCACAAGCTTTCTGTGGTTATAATCTAAGTGCATCTGCTGGGTCCTTCTCCTTAGGAAACTGCCATGCTGCAGTAAAGCTTCCAGAGGAACCAGAGCAAGCAGAGCAACCCAGAACAGGAACTGTCAAAGGCTTAGATTCAGTAAAAAAGAAATAAACAAAAAATTATTTTCTTTTGTGTTTTTTAAAAAATATTTATTTTATTATAGTGTGTGTGTGTGTGTGTGTGTGTGTGTGTGTGTGTGTGTATGCATGCACGCATGGCTTATAAACAGAGGTCAGAGGACAACTTTTGGGAGTCTGTTCTCTCCCTCCACTGTTTGGGTCCTGGAAATCAAACTCCAGTCATCAGAACGGGTGACAAGCACCTCTATCTTCTGAGGCATCTAGCCGGCCCTCTTAACAAACATAATTATAAAAATATGCTGTCATACTTAAATAAAATTATTCTTGAGATAAACATAGCAACACACAATTTTTATTTGGGGCAATTTTTTTGATTTAGGGAAATAGAATAAAATAAAAGAAAAACCAAAACAATTTTAAAATTGCTGCTTACCTATTAACTCGACTAACAAGCTTTTTGGAAAAGATAAAGGCTGCATTTAAAACGAGAGATGTGTAATATCAAGTATAAAACAATTCTAGTCATGATCAGAGCGAACACATCTCAACCCAGACACACAAATAAGCAAATCCCTACCTGCTGGCTGTAATTTCTCACCCCGTTTTCCATCAGTGCTAACTTCTCTTGCAGCTGGTGGACTTCCTCCTGAAGTTCCTGAATCCTGAAACATGGAGAACCAGTGTCAGCATATGGCGTAGACGTGGGTTGAGGAGACAATACAATGGAACATGAAAGTAATTGTTGTTGCATAAAATCCCACTTCTGGCTACCGGGGGCTCGGGGGAGGGGAGGGCGCAGTACTGTGCTGCAGGGTCCTAGAGCCTCATCATAAACACAGTCCATCACCTTGGAGAGCTAAATTTATAGAGGGAGGGATCACAATTGAGAGGCAAGTGATTTGAAACTCAGACACGTCATGCAATAATCACTTCACTCTTCAGCTGTGTCCTTAGAGCGACTCTAAGGTACAGATACCAATTTTTAGGCTCAGGAAACTCAAGGTCTAGCTCAAAATTAACAGTATCACTAAATGAGACAAGGGACAAGCATGTGTGTTCTGACCCTAACCAGCCCTGAGCTGCCTACTAAACTACTTTTATACTTTTGGAGAGGAGAAAATGTAGAAAAAAGCAATTTTCTAGTGACCCAAGCAAAGCCTGTTTTTCCTAGAACCTGTGAGCTCTACGAATCAAGACTTAGCCCAAACCATCTGAGCTCCACATGGATTCTATTGTCTAAGTATGGCATAACCCACTTTTGATGGGAAAAGCCTGAAGCAGGTCTGCTTTGAAGGGACATTTTCCATGAGCTGCAATAAGTAGGCTGCAGAGAGCTCATTCCAACATTTATTGAAGACAAAAGTTTCTACTAACCTACTAAGGATACAAGCAGGCACTCAAGCACTCTAAGATCAATGCAGGAGACTCTATGCAATGTGTGTGTGCACACCAAAGCAAACAGACAAAAGAGACTGAGGCACTTCTACAGTGTAAACAATTCTTTAAATAAGACTACCTGGCAGCCTAGCCATAACTTTAGCAGATGAGCAGCCCACAAAAGGTCAAGGTAGTCACATAAACACAGGCACATGATATTAGGATAGAATAAATGACTGAAGTGGTCTTCAGGAGATCTCAACCAATGCTCTTTAAGAAATGAGTGGTTTAAAAACCTCTTCTGTGTTTTCTATGAACCACAAAGTCCTTACCTGCACTGTCTTCCCATGTGCCCCGGTTTGGAGGCCTCCCCTAGAATCACTAGAGTGTCACTGGCATTGTTATCTTGCCTTTAAAGCCCTATAACTCTCTCAGTGACACCTGGACTCAAGCATGTCCAAACAGCATCATGACCTTACTCTGATGACCTCAGCATGGACTCAAGCCTTGTCCTGGAGGCCTAATGAACAGTTAACTAAACAGAATTTATTTCTGACTCTGACTTATAAAAGGAAATATAAATATAGGGCTAAAGAATGCAGGAGAGAAGAATTTCAGATCAAGATAGCATTCTATTCATGTCCACCTGGCATTTTGCTACAAGTCTGAAGCAGTAGAGATTCCAGTAAAAGTTAACCTACTTAGATGAAACCGAATGTCAAAGCAACTCTATTGAAATAAGTTCCTAAAAGCAGTAAGGTATTTTATAGCAAGTATGGACAGAAACCTCAGATACATGACTTATTAGAAAACAAAGCTTTTAAACAAGTAAAAAGTGTCCTTATCATTCTGAAAACACCTACTGAGGACCTATGCAAAGTTCTGTGCTAGACGCAGGGACACAATTAACAAGGCCAAGTTTTCCCACTGAACATCTTACAACACAGCTAATAATCAAACAAGCCAGTAAGAACTAAAAACAAATGATATGGGATATTTGTACACTGGGTGAGGATATATTGCTGTTATTGTCTTAATAAAGAGCTAAATGGCCAACAGCTAAGCAGGAGGTATAAGAGGAACTTTTGGGCAGAGAGAGAGGAAGTAGGAGATGCTCAAGGCGCATGAGAGAAGCCAAGAAACATAGAGAGGAAACAGATGATACAAGATAGAAAAGCGGTAACACCATGTGACAGAACGTACATTAACATAAATGGGTTAATTTAAGTTATAAGAGCTAGTTAGGAACAAGCCTAAGCTACAGGCAAGCTTTCATAATTAGTAGGAAGTCTCTGTCATTATTTGGAGGCTAGCTGGCAGGACAGAAACAAAGATGAAGACGATGATGATAATGACTGAACTCAGGTCCTTGAGACACTGCACACATCCACCCCTCCCAGCTCAGCAAATGAGTATGTAACACACCTGTTATCAGCCACTTGCAGGAGGTCTGCAATATATGGGTCCTCTGGCTGTGGAACTGGGTATGAACTGACTTCAGAGGGTGGGGCTGGTTCATCGATTTGCATCCGCTGGCGCCTAAATGCAATGCTTCTTCTCTTGCCTCCTAAGAATACAGAAATAGATGTATGTCTTAAAAACCAAAGAAGAACCAGACACTTTTCTAAATTCCGAACAACACAGATTAACCTTCTCTTTTAAAGTGGGCTCTAATGTAAATATTCACCCTGCTCTCTGACTAAACAATGTATTTCTCAAACATTTAATGAGACTATAAAACAAGTTTTCTATGCCTGCAGGCTTGGCATATGTGCACAGGTTTAAACTGTTCCTTGGCTAGATTAGATTTTGGCAGGATTAAAATCTAAGTGTGTCTTTTAGTGGTCAATGTCATGAGCTAAAATATCACCATCAGACAACATCAGATGAGGAGCACTGGCAGTAAGAACTAAAAACACATGCTTATTAAACAATGTCCGAAAAACAGGTCACTGGAGGCTGGAGATGGCTCAGCTCTCAAAGTGCCTGCCATTCAAGCATGAGATTCTGAGTCTGATCCCAGAAACCCTGAAAAAAAAATTCAGTGGTGGTGCCAAAGCCTGTAATCCCAGCACCGGAGAAGCAGAGGCAGAAAGATCCCTGGGGCTTGCTGGTCAGCCTGCCTAGCCTAATAGACAAGCTCGAGGCTCAGTGAGAAACCTTGTCTCAAAACAATGGTGGAAAGCAATAGAGAAAGAAATCCAAAGTTGACTTCTGGCCTACATATGCACGCACACACATTCCTGCACAAACAGAGCAGAAACACACACGGGAAACAGATAACTGAAACTCCAAAGAACGCAACTAAAACATAATAGGATGTCACCTGTAATATATACTATAATCTGAGTCAGTAGTGAACACCTCTGTAATTATCTTTATAGACAGTAGGAATATTTATAAATGGATAGATTGATCTTAAAGTCATATAAAACTCATAACCCGTTTACTTTCTCAGGAGCAGGCCAGACTAGAGCTGCACTTTCTAAACAGATCAGTTCTCATGAGAAAGAGACACAGTCCAGCCTGTCGTCATGAGCACACCGGCCAACACAGTCCAGTCTGTCGTCATGAGCACACTGGCCAGCTTGGCTCAAGAAGGGGAGGACTCACCGGGAGTCTGTACTACAGCCTGCAAATTCTTTTCTTGAAGCTGTTGGATTTTCTCATTCTTAGCTTTGCTCTCTTTCTCCAGGAGTTTGAGCTTATGAACGTACTGGTTGTTCAGAAACTTCAGATCAGCTGTCTCGTGTGCACATTTTTTCAATGTAGTTTTCAACTCTTAAAGTGAGAAAGATGAAAAGATCAAGACATTGGCACCAAGCTGAGAGGTGCCACCGGAGCCTTACAGGTTGGATTAAGCCAAATGTACTTCCTACTGCTAACAAATCTGCACATAATCACAAAGAACAACTTTATGTTCTTGTTATTATTGTATATGGTAATGTGTACCATGGCTTTGATCCTGTAAATCGGCTTTAGGCTAAAGAATTATTGAATATAAAGTTTATAGTGAGATAACCAAATCATTTATCTCCTTCCTGGCTCAACACTGCCTAATAAGTGCTACACAGCTACTCATTACTTTTCTTTTCAGTAAGAGGAACAATAGTTGCTTCAAGAAAATGTCTTCTATTCTGCCATTTAATATTCTTTTTGCCAATTTCAAACCAAAAACATAATCCGCATATCGCGGGGACTATCATGGCTACGGATTACACGCATCTCCATTCTCACGCATTCTTCAGTACAGCTTCCTGTGCTGACGGAGCTGTTCGCATGACTACCAGTTTTCTTGTCAAGGACTTTAAAATGAGACTTTAGCCTTTTCCACTTATAAAACAAAGATGACAAGATCCTGCATTTAAAAATATCATCAAGATTTCATGTACCTTTAATGTGCTGGTCTGAGCATTCTTTCAGCTTCATCAACTCCAGATACAATTCATTATTCTCCCTGCTCAGTCTTGTATTCTCAAGTTTATAAGGCTCCAAAACAAAATCGAAGTTGGCACTTTCCTTTTCCGCCTTTGCCGAGGACAACCTGGACTGCCGTAGGCTTTCTGTTGTGTGAACTAAATCACTAGCGTTAAAGGACAGAAAATGAAAGGCAAGAAAGCATTCTATTAGCCTTCTAGGAACTTCAAATACATTTCTAAAAAGGCTTACGTATAATGCTAATGTTAAGTAATACCAAATTTACGAGAAGAATGAACTTTCAAGGTATCAAAAGTCCTCAAAAGTTTCTCAAAACAAGCTGTAAGTTATAAAATACAAACACATCAGATTGTTGTTTTTTTCCCCAGTTCTGAAAGTACTTTTATTGACAATTTTACCTTTAGTTTAAAAATCCTATTGTTCAGCAACATCTAACTCATGTTCCCAACAAATGAGCTACCCTGTCAGATCACAGCTCAAACTCCCTCCTGCTCCTTCTCCAGGTGCAGCTGGTTCTTTATTGAGTAAACGTGTGCTGGTGACCGCTGTGTGCTACCTCCAGGAAGACAGCAAACCAAAATCACGCTCTTACCTCTAAGAACACAGCTTATAGAACACTAAACGTTTCGTGAGAAAACACACACAAAATGCACTTAATAATGAAGAATTTCTATTCTACAATCATCAGACACTTAGTACATGATAAATCAAACATTTCCAAGCTTCCTATAGGAGCAATCTCTAGCAGCTGTAAATGATCATATCTTGTGAAGTCTGCACTGAAGGGGACGACACCAAGATGGCAATGGTGATGCACAGTGACTGTCAAATGCAGCGGGTGTGACTGTCCTACAGTGGGGAGAGAAAGGTGAGGCCCAAGGACGACAACGGGCCCGGCTCGCTCCAGCCAGAGGGAGGAGTGTACGAACAGCAAGAGTGAGAGCGCACATTGTGTGACTCAACAGTGCGAGGACAAAGCGTCAGGAAACCGGGTCATGAGAGGTTTGGGGGCGTACCCGAGGTCACAAGTTATCTTTATCATTCCTTGCTGTCTACCAGCCTTACCTGTAGTCCTACTAATGGACCTTCTCAAATACCCGCTGCAGTCTCAAACCTCCACACTACAGCTCTTGTGGAAAAGGAGGGGAAATCACCAGTGCAGAAAGGTAAAAACAAACGACAAGACAGAAAAGAGAAAGGACCTCTGACCTCTATCGGAAACCTCACTCAGAGAACAGAGGGTATAGCAATCTCTAGCATCCTGCACCATGAAGGCCCTTTGTTGGGGACAAGGCTTTGGACTGGGGACAGCACAGACAGCTTCAGCAGACTTACAGACTTCCCCAGAGTCCCCTTGCCGCTTTCCTGAAGCAGGAAGGTCACCGCAAACTCAGGACGTGGATTAAAGAGCACAGACATCTCTAACTGCGCTTCATCCTTACCTGAAGAGTTTCTCCACCAGAGGCAGGCACTCCACAGTCAGAGTCTGGCGGTAGCCCAGCTGGTCCAGCCTCTTCCTCACATTGATGTACTTCCTTTCCGCGGCCGTGCTCATCTCGTCTCCCAGGCCGGCTTTACTCACTCTCCACAGTCAAAGTCCTGAGGGAGGATCAGCACAGCCCTCAAAGTTTCACTGCAAGAGAAGCTCCTTGAATAGAAAAGAACGATTTTGTTCCTTTTCTGGTAGTCATTACTCTGTAATATTAACATCGATTTAAATCCAGTACATATGATCTCTATTTTGCTACATTAAAACATGCATTTCTTCACAAACCTGAATGCAAAAGTTAAAACAACAATTCTAGAGGAAAACAAAGATTTCACAGAGGCCGGCAAGGGATCCTTGACGGGAAACTCCACTTTCTTACATGTGAACGGCATCCAGACATCTTGCTCACGCTGGACAAGTGCCCTACACTGGGCTGAGCGCACAACCCACAGGGAATTCCTTAGCAGCAATAAACAGAACAGAAAAACCTGATAGGTGGGGCCTCATAAAAGTGACAAACATCAACTCATCCAAACACCCCGTTAAGGAAAATGAAAGTCCCAGCGGGAATGAGACTCAATGGTAGTTCTTGCCTAGTACTGTGAAGCCCTGGGCTTGACCTCACCAAGGAAGAGAAAAGGGGGAAAAAAAGAACGAAAACCTAAGACTGCCAGAAAATATCCATAAGCTATAAGGAAATATTTACACACAGAGAAGAAAATGAACTCTTAGAGTTTAATAATAAAACAATCTGATATGAAAATTGGGGCTAGGCCCGGTATGGAAGCAAACACCTGTATTCCCAGCAATTAGGAGGCAGACACAGGGAGACTGTCCTCAATCTGAGAGCGTCCTGATGTACATAGTAAGTACATAGGTCAGCCAGGGATACATGGCAAGACCTGTTCCCAAATTATCCTCCCAAATTGTGCTAAAACTGAAATTTTGTTGCACAAAAACTTGAAAACGCACCTTGCAAAAGATATCTCAAGAAATATATGAAAAGATCCTTAACATTAGGAAAACACAAACTATGATCACAATGAGGTGCTGCTTTGCCTATCCCGGAAGTCGAAAAGGACCGACAATACCCAGTGTCGGCAAAGGCTGCCAGGAAGTGAAACCCACACATGGCTGAGAGAGTAAAACCACCTTGGAACAAGTCCGGCCGTTTCTGACAGCGTTAAACACTCCCACGCCTATAACGCTATACCTGCACATTGACAGAAGAAAAGGGACACGAATGCCCACGAGGAGACTACAGCAGCGTTTAGAGCAGGTTTGCTCACAACTGCACCAAACCGAAAGGGGTTTGATAAACAGGCTACCCTACACCAGACAGTGTGACCCAGACTGGAGGCAACAAGCTGTCAGTACACACAGACAACAGGGCTGACTCTCAAAAGACTATTCAAGCAAAGAAGCCCCCCCCCCCCCCCCCCACACACTATGTGACTTCATTCATGAAAAGCTCAGAGACATTAAGATTCAACTGCGGGGCTAGAAAGTCTCACAGGAGGCGAGTAACTGGGAAGGACCCCTTTCTTTCCAGAGGGGCAAAAGCGTTGACGGGGAAGCCACCCAGGCACGACGTCTATGGAGTTTTCAGATGAGCATTTCACCACGTTCATTTCTGCTGTTTTTGTACTTTTTCATATGTTGAGACCAAAGCTCCTCATGATGTCCTACTGACTGGAAACTCACTACTGTAGACCAGGTCTCAACCTTCTCTTCCACCTCTACCTCTACAGTGCTAGGATTACTTGTGTGTACCACCATGTAAAACACACCTCTGAATACATTTTTATACTTGTCTATTTTGTTTGTTTGTGGTGTTGGGGATCACACCCAGAGCCAGCACTCTGTTTCTGGGCTACACCTCCAGCTACTATACTTGTGCCTTTTTTTTTTTTCTTGTCTTTTTAAACATCTACGACTATTTTCTCTATCAATCTACCCTAAAACAGAGTTATGCAAAGTTCATTTCCTTTCTAACCTTTGTCAAATAAATGTAGTCTAATTTCTAACAAAAAGAATGTTCTTCGCCAACAGTAAATTTTAAGTGCTATATATGAATACGTACAAAACCTTCTGCTGTGAACACCCAGTATGTGATAAAGGACCAGTAGCATCCTCCCTCTTCAAACACTGTCCTAAGAAAGTAACTTCCCAGGCCACAAGACTACTTCTAAATTAGACTTCTTCTTGATTACTCTCGTTTATAAATCTAGCGTCTCTGAGAGGCCTCCCCTAGGATTTTCTAGTTCCTTCCACAAGAGGGACTTGACTGATGCCGGGTGTTTTAGAGAAACTCTTGTGGTCCCAAGAAAAGCACCTGACAAGCTAGATTTAGAGGGCAAACTGCAAGAAACATTTCACGTCTTTGACAGCTGCCAACTCCAGGTACCCAAAACCATCTCTCTGCATCCTTCGAGATGAAGAAGACAGAATGAGAATACGAAGCAAAGTCCTCCCAGGAAAAACAAAAACACGTACATGTTAGGTTGCTCCTATATTCCGAATGACAACTTTTTGATCAAAACAACATAAAAGGGTAGGTTCAGCGTTTAGAGCTAGGTGTCCACTACACTCCGGAGCGTGGGTGTCTTAAGGAGGCCACCTCTTACTTTTTCAGACACATCCAACGCGTGGATGCAGAAGGGTTTAAACACCAAACCCCGCAGCGCGGGCGCCACGGGACGGGTGGGCCTGAGCGGGACTCAGTCAGGAAGGTGGAGCCACCGTTCTCCCCGCCCGGACATTTTCCCGTCCAGCCAGCCAGCCAGCGGCTCGGCCCCGCAGCCCCGCCGCACGGTCGGACAGCGGGACGGTCCCGGCGCCGCCCTCCCCCACTTCCTCCCTCGGGGAACCGCCCCGGAGGTCCTGCGACCCCGCCGGCCCCCTGCGGCCTCCCCCCCGGGCGAGCCTCACCGCCGTTCCCGTCGCCGCTTCCCCGCGCGGCGCATCGCCCTGGGGACCCGCCGTCCTCACTGGCTCCTCCCGCTGCGCCCAATGGCTCCGGCACCAGCGCAGTTTGAAAATGGCGCCGAGAGACGGTCGCGGCCCACAAGGAGGAAGCGCCGCGGTTGCCCCGGTAACCGGAGCGGCCCACAGCGGCGACGCGCGCCCGCCCGCCCGCCCGGCCGGTGATGGCGGCTCCCGGGCCTCGGTGCCCGGAAACGTAACGGCTCGGCCGAGGCGGGGCCACGGCGCCCCCTGGCGGAAACCCCGAGCCTCTGCGACGCCCGGCGACTTGTCAACCCGCCGCTGTGCCGGGCCAGACCTGCGCCCCAGCCTTGGTCCCCCGTCTCTGTCCCCGCAGAGAAGGATCTTTCACGGGTGAATTCGTGCTGACCGCCCAATATTCCCCCGGGACATCACTGTCCTTGCAGCTTCTCCTGGCTACCACCCGGTACAGCTATTGCCCCCTCCGCCAGAATAGAATCCGACCCCAAACACACTTGTTCATGTACCCACCTGCTGCCTCCAGTTGTGGACTCCTGGAGTCCAAGATTATTTTATTTAGCTATAATTCTCTAGCTTCTACCTCGGTATTTGCCAACGTTAAGTTGAAATAAATTGTTTATAAATAACCTGTTCCCAGATAGAAAGAGATGGTCAAATCCCCAAAGTCCACCACTCCCCTAAAAACTTTCTGGATGGTTAAGAGCTGGTTGGGTTGTTTGTTTGTTTTCTGCCTATATTTCTTACCAAGCCAGCTTTCCTCTGAACTTTGTTGCTGCATCGTATGTAAATGTGCGGTGGGAAGTGGACTACTGTGTGCCCATTCGTTCATTGCTTTCACATCTCCATTTTGTGTGTTTCGTCTATTTTTAAATGGAATTTCTAAGGAACTAATGATTTGAATTCTGTAGAAAAAAATTTAGACTATCTTGCAAATATACAAGTTAGCATATTTTTTGTAAAAACAAAAAAGGCAAATACCTTTTTCTGAAAAGAAGCAGCCATAAATGGACTATACAATAGCCATCTAGTCAAGATGAATTCTTGGCTCCCCTTACCCCAAACATACCAATTACAAAAATAAAAACAAAACTCAATGAAGAAATCCCGAGAGGAAAGTGGGATTGAGAGCCATAGTTAAGCTTTGCTCGGAGTGACTTTGCTAACCCAGAATCAGTTGCACTGCTGACCTCCGAGGTCTGAGGTCAGGGGTCCTGGTGCACAGAAAGTGAAGAAGAGCAAGCAGAGCAAGCTGCTGTTGCTTCCATCCGAATCCCGGACCATGAAGCAAACTGCATGGCTGTGGGGGCAGGAAGACAAGGAAATACTCCCACAACAGAAAGTGAGGCTGCTGTCGGGGTTTTGTAGACTTCTAGTAGTATATTACCACAAACAGGAGTCTGGAACTACTCCAGTGAGATTTGCCCAGAGTGGGGGTAGGGGGGTCCTGATTGCTGGATTAAGAAAGCCAGATGTAAAGCCACTGCAAACTGATGCTATAGTTTAGAGCTGGTCTGGAATGTGATGATCTGAATGAGAATGGCCCCACAGGCTCATATATAATGGGTCCCCAGTTGGTGGAACTGTTTGGGAAGGATTAGGTGTCGCCTTGTTGGAGGAGCTTTGTCACTGGGGCTGTGATGGCTAAGGTTATGCTGATCACTAACTGTGTTTAAAAGTTTTAAATTTCTGTGCTTAAGAGAACCACAATGCAAAATTGAACTTTTAAATGTTATATGCTGTTAAGGGCTTATTTTTGTAATTGCCTGCTCTTGTAAAACTTTGACAAAACTGCTGTTTCTGCTTCATAAACAAAAGCTTGCTTTACGGAAAATGAACTGTTTGCCTGTAGACAGGATGCAACTTGATGTTCTTTCCTTTAAAAGCCCCTGACCGAGGTGGCTGGGTTCTGTGCTGTCCTGGGGGATCCTGAGTGCTGGGTGTGTAGACCTGGCCAGTATATGAACAAAAGCCTCTTCTTTAATATTTGTTAATGGTCAGACTGGTGAATCTCTGAACTCCCGAAGACCCATAACAGGGGTAGGCTTTGAAAATGGCTTTCAGAAACCCATTCTATTCCCAGATCCTAGAGCTTGTGGATCAAGAAGTGAGTTCTCAGCTACTGGTCCTGCACCATGCCTGCCTGCTTGCCCGCTGGCATGCAGACATGGTGGTCACTGCCTGCTTGCCTCCTGACATGCTCCCAGACATGGTGGTCACAGATACTAACTTTTCAGAAGAATAAATTGCAAGTTGTCTTGGTGATGATGTCTTAAGCATAGCAATAGAAAGGTAACTAAGTCAAATGTTCTCTTGAGGCCTAAGATCTATCTGTTATGGCTTAGTCTGCAGCATGGCACTACTGGGAGGTGGCAGAATCTTTAAGAAATAATTTAGTGAAAGGAAGCTAGGTCCCTGAGCAACGAGAGCCTTTGGTAGTGCAGTGGATATAATTTGAATGACCTAGAGTAGGGTTTCTCAGGGCATCACTACTAACATTTGAACGGTCAGATCTTTATTGAGGGGAACCTGTCCTGAGTATTGTGGAATATACAGAACCCTTCCTGGCTTCCCCACACTGAATGTCTGCAGTAGTCTCCAGTCCAGATGTTCTTACAGTCACACTGGATGCCTGCAGTAGCCTCCAGTCCAGATGTTCTTACAGTCACACTGGATGCCTGCAGTAGCCTCCAGTCCAGATGTTCTTACAGTCACACTGGATGCCTGCAGTAGCCTCCAGTCCAGATGTTCTTACAGTCACACTGGATGCCTGCAGTAGTCTCTACTCCAAATGTTCTTACAGTCACACTGGATGCATGTAGTAGCCTATACTCCAGATGTTTTTATAGTCACACTGGATGCCTACAGTAGCCTATACTCCAGATATTTTTATAGTTACACTGGATGCCTGCAGTAGTCTCCAGTCCAGATGTTTTTATAGTCACAGCACCTTCATGACTTTCCAAATTGTCTTGGAGGCAAAAAACACTCCTGGTTGAGAATCACTGATCAAAATAGATGAAGGAGTAATTGTCATTAGAAAAGAATAAGAATTATTAAATGAAATAGGAACAGGTGTCGATGAAGAGGACCAATCAGAAAACTTGGATATTTAAAAATAATCATAAATTTTAAAAATATTGTGCCAGCAAAGTGGCTCAGAAGGTAAAGTCATTTTTCCTACAAGGCTGACAACCTGGGATCAGTCGTTAAGTTCCTCATGATAGGCGAGAACTTGAAGAGAAGAGATTTTGGGAAGGGGGAAGAGAAGATGACATCATTGGGAAGATGTAGACCGAGAAAATACATTTCAGTCTGTAATAAATGTAGCCATCCAGTGAGGGGCACAGATCACAATAAGGCGGAGTTACTAAAGGTCTCACCGAATGTGATATTTCAGAGCTTGAGTTTCATCCACTACATCATTAGACTTTAAAATGGATGATCACTTAATGAAATTAAGTGGGTAAAATTGGTCTGGGTTTGGAGGATGAATGCTGAATAGTGAACTGTACACAAAACCAAGTTGCCTAGGACAGGAGTCAAATAATCCTCTTAACCGTGTGATAAAATTAAAAAAAAAAAAAAAACCAATGTGGTCAAATGCCTGAGGGACAAAGACAACAAAGAAGAATAGAAAGCCTGTAGTGAGGGGTCAGCCTCTCTAAGTGAAGGCGGAGGGAATCGAGACCAATGCCAAGTGTTGTCTTTCCGAAATGGAAGCCCCAAGTGGAATAACCAGGAAGCCACATTAGCAGGTGCTGTAGCAGGGATGGGACAGTTCTCTAGAGGTGTCGGGGAGACTGCTGGGCATATACAATGATTTGGCTTTGGATGCTGCTGTGGTTAGCATGGCCATCCAGTCTCCTGTATCTCCCTTCCCCTTAGAAGATGAGTTCCTAATGAGCTGAAGAGACGAATATGCCTTTCTCTGTAGGCATAACCAAACGAAGCGGGGACGACGGGTAAAATGAATCGAATTGAATGATCCAGATCTTGTATCTGATATTCCTTCTAGCATCTCAGTTGCTACCCAGAAAACATGTGTAGTGGTCTATGCCCCCTTAGGCCCATAGGGAGAGGCACTACTAGGAGGTGCAGTCTTGTTGGACTAGGTATGCCCTCGTTGGAGGAAGTGTGTCCTCCACGGGTGGGTGCTGAGGTTTCAGATGCTGGAGCCAGGTCCAGCGTCTCTCTCTCTCCCTGCTGCCTGAGGATCCAGATGTAGAACTCTCAGTTACCTCTCCAGTACTTTATCTGCCTCTGAGCTTCCATGCTCTCTGTCATGACGATAGTAGACTAAACTTCTGGACCTGAAAGCCAGCTCCAATTAGTGTTTTCTTTTATGAGACTTGCCTTGTCATGATGTTTCTTTTTTTTTTTCACGGATTTTTAAAATTTTTTATTTTTATTATTTTTATTATTTATTTATTTATTAAAGATTTCTGTCTCTTCCCCGCCACCACCTCCCTTATCTCCCCCTCCCCCAATCAACTCCCCCTCTCTCATCAGCCCGAAGAGCAGACCAGGTTCCCTGCCCTGTGGAGAGTCCAAGGACCTCCCACCTCCTTCCAGGTCTAGTAAGGTGAGCATCCAAACTGCCTAGGCTCCCACAAAGCCAGTACGTGCAGTAGGATCAAAACCCAGTGCCATTGTTCTTGACTTCTCAGCAGTCCTCATTGTCCACTCTGTTCAGTGATTCCGGTTTTATCCCATGCTTTTTCAGACCCAGTCCAGCTGGCCTTGGTAGTTCCCGAAAGAACATCCCCCATTGTCTCAGTGTGTGGGTGCACCCCTCATGGCCCTGAGTTCCTTGATCGTGCTCTCTCTCCTTCTGCTCCTGATTTGGACCTTGGGTTTGTAGTCTGGTGCTCCAATGTGGGACTCTGTCTCTGTCTCCTTTCATCAATCTAGATGCCCTTCAATGGAAGAATGGATGAAGAAAGTATGGAATATATACATATTAGAGTACTACTCAGCAGTAAAAAACAATGACTTCTTGAATTTTGCATCCAAATGGATGGAAATAGAAAACACTATCCTGAGTGAGGTAAGCCAGACCCAAAAAGAGGAACATGGGATGTACTCACTCATATTTGGTTTCTAGCCATAAATAAAGGACATTGAGCCTATAATTCATAATCCTAGAGCAGCTAAATAAGAAGGTGAACCCAAGCCGGGTGGTGGTGGC